ACAGGGAGGGGATCTCTCGCCCGCTCTGTCGCCCCGGCTCGCCCCTTGGTAGGGCGCCCTTTCGGCGGTGGCGCCCCCCCTCGTTCCCCACCCCCGGTGCTGGCTGCCCGCTGGTCCGCCTGCCCATCTGCTTGTCTTTGATGCTGACCAGAGCCAGCCGCGGTGCCCCCACCCCCGCCCCCGAGGGCGGCGCGGAGTGGAGGGGGCCTTGGTTGCCGTCCCATAAACACTGGGGTCTGGTATTACAGCAAGTCGCAGCAGGACTCGGGAACCGCGGCGGGGCGGGTGCCCCATTCTCCCTCCGCCTCTTCATCCTGGTGGGCCAGCGCAGCCCGCCCCCACCGCGCAGGCTTGGTGGGATCCCCCCAGGGCCTGGGAGCGACCATACTAGGGATGGGGGCAGCTCTGGGCTCCGAGACTTCCAGGCCCTGGGAAGGACTGCTTCTCAGAGTCACCCTGGAGTACCATCCTCATTGGCCACGTCCCTCGCCTGGTGCTCACGTCTGCTTCTCTGGCCCCCTCCCTTCCAGCCCTCCACTCTCCCCTCTCCTTACCAACCCCCCCACCCCCGCCACTTTCATCTCGTTGCTTTTCCAAGTCTTTGAAATCAGAGGGACCTGGATTCCAGTCCCATTTCTGCTACTGGGCAAGTGAGCCCCTTTTCCCTGTGCCCTAGTTTCCTCATCTGTAAAATGGGCACTGTCATAGGTATTTTGCAAGGCTATCTTAGAGATTTCATGAAACCAGGTGTATTACTAGGCAACATATATAGATGCCCAATAATGTTTCTCCAAGCCCTTTAACTTGGTTGTCACACTGAATGAATTAGAATAAAGGATGTATAAATTAGTGTTTACAGACTAAAATTGTACCAGCCTTCCTTCTCTTTACAGCATCCCACTTCTAAAAGCATTTCATTTACAAAAGGAAGGAGTAGCAGAATCAGTACTTAAATTAAGTCAGGGCCACTAGGGAAATCCCTACCTGAAATATTGCAGGATAATACTGAGAAGATGGCCTGGGTTCAAATCCTGCCTCAGCCACTAGGTAACCCTGTGACCTTGAGCAAGCTACTTAACCTCTCTGGGCCTTGATTTCCTCATCTGTAAAATAGGGATAATGATGGCACCCACCTCAAAGTTGTGAAGGTTAAATCATTTTCTGTTTGAAAAGTGCTTAGGGCAGGGCTTGATACGTAGAACCCGCTTAATAAGTGTTAACTATCATCATTGCTATGTGTTAAGCACAGGCTTCATTTTGGCATATCCTGCCCAGAGCTGGGGTTTGTTAGTTTGACCACAGCCCCTTGGGTGCTCCAGCTGGGTAAGTGAAGATAACAGGTGTATCCAGACCCAGGCCTGCTGCCTCGCTACTCTTTCTGTTGTGGCCACCACTCCCTTTGCCCTTAGACCCTCTCAGCTCTGCAAGAAGGTGAGGTGAGGGAGGAACAAAGGCTCTGATGGACTCTACTTCTGGCCCTGGGAAAGCTGGACTGGTTCACGGGGCCATGTCAACTGTAGCAGGTATTGTGTCCAACTCTGAAGCTGGCTGGGGACCACTCATAGTATGAATGAAAGACAGAAGGGGGAGCTGTGCGGAGGAACTGAGAGGACCTGCTTCCTGAGAGCAGCTAGAACACTTGGTCATTACTACCCACTGCCCTGAAACCTGGCCCACTTCCACGTATTCAGCACCATGGCCTGGCCGTAGTACAGGCTACTGTCACACACTAGCACCCCTTGCACAGGTCAGGTGGTGCTATGGTCTGGATGTCTGTGTACCCCCAAAATTCATATGTTAAAATCCTAACCCCCCAAAAGACTAAGACACTCAGGCTCACCTGTGAGAACCCACAGATGCACACATTTAGTTTATGGCACAGAGGTGCCCAGTTGAGGGGTGGAGGGCCTGAAATGCAGTTTATACTCTGCTTTCCAAGCTGTGGAGCCTAGAGAAAAAGACCTTCCGCTCTCTTCTTGAGGCTGGGACTACCCAGAGGGGACTTCTTTTTCTAGTTCCACCAAAGCCCTGGCATCGTTTAGCAGCACCCCAGCCCCTGAACTCGTGAGCATGTATCCACACTTTGCTGAGCTGCACTGCGCTGCACCCAGAGTGCTCGCCTCCCTGGCCTCCCTCCAGGACCTTGATCCCCGCTGCCCCCATCCCATCTACATGCAGGTCCTCCCAGCCGGCTGGGAGCCGCAGAGGGGGATCCCCGGTGACTGAGCAGGCACACCCTCTGAGCATGGCCTGAGGCGGTTTCCTACCTCATCCCTGGGGGCTCATCAGATGTTCCTGGCAGTGTGCCCATACCGGGCAAGCCCATGGTGACCATGGGATGCTGGGCTTGAAGCCCCAGGCCTCTCCCTCACAGAACAGGGAGAGAGGCATGGAACGGAGAACACACCCCGCTTCCTGCCACCTGCCCTCCTGTACTGAATTCCCACCCAGGCTCTCCAGGGGCCCGGATGCCTAGGGAGAATGGCCTGTGTCTGTGGTTTAAAACAAAATCCTTGGAAGTAGAGCATCCGGTTTGCATCTGAGGTCCTTCGTGTGGAACCCTCATTACTGTTGATCAGCAGCAGATTCCTGGGGCCATGAGGAGGGGGTGCCCCACTTGTGGTCTCACCCAGTGGACAGGAGTGGGAGGAGGACTGGGGGCTCCAGGGTCAGCTAGGCAAGCAGTGGCCTTAAGAGGAGGTTTCTTGTCTCTGTGAAAGGGGCGCTTCAAAGAAGCATGTGGAATTTTGGTTCTGTTGCATCGGAGACTGTGCAGTGAGGACAGAGGCCTTGCAGTGGTCAGGAGCAGGAGAGACGCGGAGTGGAAGCAGTGGGCCTGGGCATGCCGTGCCTTCCAGCCTGGCCGTGCGGGCGGAAACCAGACAGCCTGCTGCTGTGCTCATGATAGTCATGTCGGATCCCCTTATTTGGGCAATTAAAAGGAGTTACTAATTACCCCCTGCCCCAGAAGTGCCTGGCTGGAAGACTCTGTACACAGTGTTTCCAAACTAGACTGAATATAAATCCCTGGGCCTGCAAACCGCAGTCAACAAAACCCCATTGAGCAGAGAGAAGAGCGCCTTGGCCTGAATCAGCTGCTTGTCCTCTGACCTGGAGCGGGCACCCAGGGTCATGGCTGCCCTGAGAAGCCCCATGCAAGCCAATTTCGAAGTCTTTTCCTGGCTGGTTACCGGCCTCCCTCCTTGATGTGGCCTCAGCTTGACATGAGCATTTGTCTTCAGCTCTGTCCCGTGGGCTGGCATCTTCATGGCCCTTCAGCGCAGAGCTGTAACCGTGGTGCTAACAGACGGCTCACCGCACAACCTGGGGCAAGTGCCCACCTCCTCCAAGCCCATTTTCACATTGGGAGTAATAGCAGGATCCATCTCTTGGTCCTGAGAGGATTACGTGAAATAATGTGTGTAAAGTGTTTGGCCCGGGTGCTACGTCCCCAGTAAAAGGTAGTGGCTACTCTTCTTTGTGGTGGAAATTCCCTGCCCGCCTTGCTGGGTGAGGTTATTTGCATCAATTGGGTAGATACTGGTGAGTGCTGGCTGTATACAGGCCCTCTGCTAGGTGCTAAGACCTTCTGGCCAGGGAATGAAGTGGTGCAGACCCCACCCCCTAACCTGGGGTAGGAGACCAAGCAAGTCGCCCGAGGGCTGACTGGAGGCCATCGTCAGGGGTCCTGCTTAATTTAGTCCACTTTTCAGGTGCTCCTGGTTCAGCTCTTTCAAAGTCCTCCTCTGCCCCGAGAACCTCCTCTGCCTGGGGCTGGACCGCACCTCTGCCTCCTCCATGTCCCTGGTTGCCTCCACTCTGCCCTCTTCATAACCCACATGTCGCTGGGTGTTGAAATGCCTGTGTGCCAGCCCAGCAAAGCTCTGAGCTTGCACAACTTTTGGGGCATAGCTGGATACACCTGCACGTTCCTCTCCTAGACAGGGGAGACAGAGAGGATGGCACGGGGCCTGGAGAAAAAGCTGGACTCAGGTCATGTCCATCACGCCTTCCTTTGTCCCCTTTCTTAGGGCCTGTGGCCCCACTCCCCCATCCCTGGGTGCTCAGGATCGGAGGCCTCTGATGTGGTCCTCCGTGTGGGTCGAGGGGGAAGAGGAGTGAGAGTATGTGAGACTCTCATGGTCTGGGCTGGCCTGACCTCAGGAGCTCCTGCTGCTGCTTTTTCCTAGCCAGCACCCCCGCCCCTCCCCCTGCCTCTCCTCTTCCTTGCATTCTAACCTCCCTGTCCTGGCAGTGCTCCCCCGAGTCCAGGATGGAAAGTAGAGCCCTGTGCGGTCCCCCTGGTCACTCTTCAGCCACCCACCACTCTTGTGTGACCGTCTCCACTATGGGGCAGGAACCAGCCCTTAGGTGGCACAGCTGGCGTCCTTATGTTTGTGTTCCACCATCCAGCACCTAGAAGAAGGTAGAAGGTAAGGTAGCAGGTATAGGGCTACTGTGGGCACCAGGCTTTTAGTATATTATTTCCACTTACATAGTAGATGGAATTATCCCCATTTTACAGTTAAGGTAGCTGAGGTTCAGAGAAGAGAAGTATCTTGTCCACGTCACACAGTTCTGCCTTGCAAGCCTGCGACCTGACCTGTTCTCCGTGGGACTTGTTTGGTCTGCACTCATGGGTCCATCTGAGAAGCCCATCCTGACAGCTTAGTGGAGTTCAGAGAGGTGGGGGGCCTGAGGTGAGGGGGTTTCAGTGGGGATAATAGACAGTAGACAGAAACCTCTCATTTTATCTTCAATTCTTTTTTAAATTTTATTTATTTATTTATTTTTGGCTGTGTTGGGTCTTCATTGCTGTGCGCAGGCTTTCTCTAGTTGTAGTGAGCAGGCACTACTCTTTCGTTGTGGTGCGCGGGTTTCTCATTGCGGTGGCTTCTCTTGTTGCAGAGCATGGGCTCTAGGGGTACGGGCTTCAGTAGTTGTGGCACGTGGGCTTAGCAGTTGTGGCTCATGGGCTTAGTTGCTCTGCGGCATGTGGGATCTTCCCGGACCAGGGCTCAAACCCGTGTCCCCTGCATTGGCAGGTGGATTCCCAACTGCTGCACCACCAGGGAAGCCCCGTATCTTTAATTCTAAAGAGGGGCCAAGTGAACTGACTTGCTGCCTCCCTCTTAGCCTCCCCTTGCCCATCCTCTGAGAGAGGTGTTAACTGGAAGAGGGAAGAAAACCACCCGGGAAGGAGCACCCAATGTGTGCTGGGTGCTGGCCTGGGGTATGGAGGTGCTATTGTTTCATCTCGTACAGATGAGGGACCCGAGGCTCTGAGAAGAGAACTCATATTGTCAGGGCCGTGCAGCTAGAAGTTTCGGGGCAAAGCCTTAGACCACAAGCTCTCTGCCTCAAGAATCACGTTCTTTCCATGAGAACATCTGGCTCCTGCTTCACCTGTGAAATGTACAAAAGCAGTGAAATGACCCAGCTCAGCCTTTGAATAATTGATAGGTTATGTATTTCCATCTGGTAAAGAAATCTATTGAGGTCACTCCTTGGATGGGACAAGGGATCCAGCTAAGGCCCTGATGGCACAGCCATGGTCGGAAATAGGGCAGACCCGGCAGACTTGGCCAGGAGCGCGGTGCACCAGAGACTGGGGCAGACAGACGTTTGCAAACGGGGGAGCAACAGGCCAGAGCCAGCATGGAGATATATTTTGTTTGGCATCCAAGTGTTTTAGAAAATTTTTAATTAGTAACCAATGTTTAAAACTCAGGAAATTTTCTATAAAAATCCAGGTTTCCAGTTCTTCTGAAGACCTGATGAGGCTTAGCCCTCATTGCATTGAGTAGCAATGGTCTGCGAGGAAGCAGCAGCTACCCCTTCAGAGGGGCTCCTGCCTGTAGGAGGCTCCACCCCCACCTGCCCTTGTCCCCTTCCCTGTACAAGTGGGCTTCCGAGGTGGTCAGGGGCTGGGGGTTTACTCAGAGCAAGGATGAGGAGTGGGGGTGGGGTGGGCGGCATGGGTAGGACCAATCCTAATTGTTGGTGGCCCCCTAACCCTGGAAGCTTGGCATTTCCACATGCTGTGTTTATTTGGTCTTCCCAGCAACCCTGCGAGGGCTCCCTCCCAGAAATGGCAGGTATCTTGTCTAACTGGTCAGTGATAATACTCAGGACTCACACACAGACCTTGTGACTCTCCTTTCCGGTCCCTGTGGCCTCTCCCGTCTCCCTGCAGCACTTTCAGCTGTCACACTTCCATCTAGACCCTGGGATTCCGGGACTGAGCTCTGGGGAGGGGACAGGGCAGGGGCCATGCTTCTCAGACACACTCTCGCGATCGTGAGGCTTCAGGACCTCTGGACTGCCCCCTTTGAATCTGGTGTCAGTCCCTGGACCAGAGCACCCTGAATTGGGACTTGGGACACTCTTAGTCATTCATTCAATCAACAAATGTTTATTGAACAACTCCTTGGAACTCCCCTGGCCAGATGATACAAATATGGGCTGCAAATAATAAGACAGTTTTGATCCTCAAGGATCAAAACTTGGTGAGGGAGACAGGCATCTGAGGCCCATCATTGTCAAATAATGTGGCCAGTGCACTGCGAGAGGTGTGAGCAGGAGATGATGGGTGCACAGGGAAGGGGCTCTCGCCCAGCTGGGGATTCAGGAAGGCCTCCTGGAGGAGGTGATACCGAGCTGAGTCTCAAAGGATGAGTAGGAGTTAGTCAAAAGGAAGAGCATTCTGGGCAGGGAGACTGCCTGGGCAAAGACTGGCAAGGAGAAATAGGACCTTGAGTCAAAGTTCACTCCTTTAAAATGGGAGGGGGATGTGGCAAGGGCTGGCGAGTCAGGGGCTGGGACATAGGGACACGGGACCGTGACAGTCCCCAGAAAGCCCTCTGACCTCTGTAGCACCTGGGCTGGGGGCAGGGGCCAGATGGGAGGCTGCTGCAGTGGCTCGGGTGAGAGAGGGCAGTGGCCCGGTTCAGGCCCAAGGTAGCGGGGATGGTGAGGGGAATAGATTTGAACAGTATTGAGGAGGGAGTCTTGGCAGGTTTTGAGCATGGATTAGATGTCCACGGTGAGGGAGAGGGAGATAGAAAGTGCGACTCACAGGTTCCCAGCCCGCTGAGCTGTGCCACCCAAAGATGCAAGATCCCAAGCCGAGGAGTGGTCTGGAAGTGGGCAGTGGAGGCGGTGCCCGTGGAGGGCCTCCTGCATAGTGGGGTCTGGCATACTGGAGGACGACCTGCATACTGGAGGATGAAGAGGTTTGGGGGTTGCCAGCATCCAGGACATTGAAGCGATGGGCATGGATGTGTGGCCCGAGGGCCAAGGGCCGACCCCAGTGAACAAGAACATTCAAGAGCGAGGCCTGGAGAGGCTGAAGGTGATTAATAATACAGACTCTGGAGCTGGTGACCCAGGTTCAAATCCCAGCTTCACCGCTCTTCCTAACTGGGTAACTGAGGGCAAGTCATTTCACGTGTGCCTCGGTTCTCTCGCCCGAAAAAAGCAGATGGTAATTCCTACCTGACAACCTGGCCAGAAGTACGTGCACCAGCCCAGTTAAAGTGCTGAGTAAGTGCTACAGCGCATCAGCTCCTGGAGGGATGGAGGCCTGGGGGGAGTGTGAAGGAGACCAGTGTGGCAGACCCCCAGAGGAGAGGGGACCCCCGCCAGGCCGTGCCCCTCGGCGTCTGGGGTTTGGCAGCGAGGCGATGCCTGGGCCCTGGCGAGTATGGGCCTGGTTCAGGCCTGATCCCCAGGCAGGGAGTGAGTGGGAGGTAAGGGACGGAGATGGCGCTGGGTGGCTCTTCTCCTCAGGAGTTTGGCTGAGAAGGGAGGAGGGAGGCACACACATTTCTAGGATAGATATCGAGGGAAAATAAAATACTTTGAGAGGCAGAGGTTGATGACACAGGATTCAGTTTCTGAGGAGATGGAGGATGGGAAGTTGAGGTTGTTTATGCCTGATGGCCCCAGTTTCCTTGGAAAAGGGGGGCCTCTGAGAGGAGGAAGATGGGGGTAGAGGCTTCAGGAGAGAGGGGATGGCCAGCCCCGGGGCAGAGGGCCGGAGGAGCTGACCTTAGTCCTTGGGGGGCGGGTGGGGGTCAGGCTTCCAAGGTGATGGCGGCTCATGACAGGTCCTGGGTTAAGACTCTGTTGTCCAGATGGACACAAGGGGAGTGTCTGTGAGGGGTGGGGGCCACCGGGTGATTCTGGCAGGAGCACTTGGCCAGCTCACCTGGGGTGGTAGCAGCAGCCAGCTGGGAAGCGGGCTTTCCCGAGCGTGCATGCCCCAGGAACACAGGACGTTTCTAGGCTGGGTTCCCTTGATTTCTTGCCTCTTTCTTGGTTACCTCAGTCCATGGGGAGCACTTGTGGCACACAGTCCCCTTCCCCTATCAAGAGTGACCCTTGCCTGGCTGGGGTCTCTACCCTGGCATTGGCCTGTTGACAGCAGTTTGGCGTGCCGCTTCCAGCCCGTCTGGCCGCCCTGCCCTGACACTGGGCGGTGGGGAAGGAGGACGCGCAAACAGGTCGGCGGCATCCAGGTGGATGGCTGCCTTGCCCTAGTTTGCTGCTGAGTCAGCGCTTCTGTCCTGGAGGTGGTGCTTCTGCTGGCGCAAGTGGGTCCAAGGGTCCTGTGTGACTCCCTGGGGAAGAGGTGCTCCAACAGAGCCTTGGGAGGCTCTCAGGGATTTGTCCAGGGCCCAGACCCCTCTCTGGGGACCTTGTGATTCAAGCCGAGGGGCAGCTAGCTGCCCACCATGCCCCACCCCCGTTCCCACTGGGGGCACCTTCCAGGCCCTGACCCCGCAGGGAAGCTGGTGTCTTCTGGCCTAGTCCTGCTGGGGCCTGTGGGCGGCGGGCTGTTAAGGCCAGGTCAGCGTCAGCTGGGGTGCCCCCGGAGCCACAGTGGAGGGAAAGGTGGGGCGGGGCTCTGAGTCACGGCCCTGCTGCAGCGCCTGGTTGGCAGGGTGGGGACCGCCCGGGGCGGGGATGGTGCTGAGCCGTGTTTGCATCTCACCCCAGAGAGCTCCACGCTTCCGGCTGAGTCACAGGCCAGGGGAGAATCTCTAGATGAGGCTGGGGGCTGAGTTGTTCCCGCATCACTTCCTGCTGAGAGCCCAGGCCCTGAGGGTGTGGGAGTGGGGCTCTGCAGGTAGCTCTGACCCTCTCCGAGGGTGAGGGCGGGCGAGGCCCAGGGTGGAGAGGGCTCAAGGCCTTGAGGTGGGACAGCCCCAGGCCTGCCGCCATCCTGCCTTCTTGGAGCCCTGGAGAAGCCACTGGCTCGGGCCTGCCCAGGCTAGATGGGACGGCTTCATCCCACCTGGGAGAACTGGCCACAGCTTCAGACAGCCCGGCTTTCTCTGCACTGGACTAGCCTGCTGGGTAGAGGGTGTGGAGGATGTCTGAGCAGCACAGGTAGCCCAGGAGACCGCACAAGATACTCTCTTTCCACACAGAGAGCAGGGTGGACACTAAGACTGACCCCGAGGTGGGCCAGCACTCACCGAGCTGAGTGCACAAACACCTCCTTTTAGTCGCCTCTGCAGATAGTACCCCAGAGCGAACACACAAGCATGGACAAGCCCTGTGGTAGGGTGTACACGCACACAAACACACACACGGGCAAGCTGAGGCAGGAACCCCACTCAGAACACCGCCAAGCAGGGACCACCTCTCACACACCACATGGGCCCATGACACCGGCCCGTGTCTGAGCTGTTGCTCTCTGCTTGGCTGTGAGCCCCTCATGTGACCAGACGCAGGCCTAGGTTAGAATGGCCCAGGACGAGTTTGTTAGCCATGAGGAACAGGGAGGCCCAGCTCTTCAAAGCAACCCTGTTTCTCTGGCAGCTCTCGCTGGGCTGGATTTTCCTGCAGGGCTTTTTGGTTTTGTTTTTGATCCACTCAAGTGTTGATCGTGTGCCAGATACTGTGCCAACACTGGGGTAACGTGTGCGAAGTTGTTTTGAGTAAAGCTCCCAGTAAATGTGGGTTCTTATTATGCATGTTATTATTTACATATATAATCTCATTTCTTTTTGTAACAATCCTCTGAGGCGAGGTGGTATTATCCTCATTTTACAGATAAGGAAATTGAGGCTCCAAGATGTTAAGTGGCTTGTCCTGGTAGCAAACGGACAGTAAGTGACAGAGGCAGGATTTGAACCCAGGTCTCTGTGCTTCTAATCTCTGTCGCACTGAGACTCCCAGGTGGTAAGCCATCCCCACTGACCGGCCCTGGTGAAGTCCACAGGGCAAGAGGGATTGTGGAGGGCCAGGCCTTCAGGACACCATGGCTTTGAGTCTGAGAGACTCAGGGCAGAGGGGTGAAGAGGCAGCATCCCCAGGATGGGAGTGCGTGGTGTGAGGGGCCCCTCGCCCGTTCCTCCCAGGCGTTTTCTGTCCCTTGGCTGTTTCATTGACTGGACTCCCAGCGTGACAGGAGGAGGTGTGGGGGCCTCTTGAGCAGCTGGCTTCTTCGGAGAGCTGGGCTGGACCAGGGCTGGGCAGCTGGCGCCCTGGCTGGCCCTCCAACCTGGCTGTGCTCTGTCTGCATGACCCTTGGCAAGTCTCCCCACCCCCCCAGGCCTGAGTGAGTCTGAGCTGCCACCTGGACTGAAGCTTATCTCTGACCTTTGGCATTTCTGTATCTGGACAGATTCCAAGAGCAGCCTCCTGCCCAGACTTACGAGACCTGCCTGGGTAGAAATGCCCCTCCTCCGTAGGCAGATAAGCATGGGCATATGTGAGCCAGCCTTGCTGTCAGGAGCCTGGAGGGCTGCAAAAGATGAGGAGGGACTGCGGTAGCCATTTGCCCTGGTCTAACTGACTCCTTGTGAGCCTGCTGGGGGTTTTATTTTCATTATCCCCATGATGCATATGAGAAAACTACAGTTCGGTGAGATGACGTCCACACTGCTCTACAAAGGACCTACCTACACGGTGCTTCTCAAAGTGTGCTCCTTGGGCCTCCAACTTCAGAATCCCCAGGGAGCTCATAAAATTGCATGTTCTCAGGCTCCATCCCAAGCCAGCAGCGTCAGAGTCTCCAGGGGCAGGTTGTGGATCTGGAGTTTAGATCTTCCAGGTGCTTTTGCTGCATCTTGCAGTTTGCGGACCAGGAGTCCAGGGAGGAGACCTCCTGAGCCGGCCTTTGTGTACGTTGCTTAATGACTCTGAGCTTCAGTTTCTTCATTTGTAACCTGGAGATAGCAGCAGTTCCTACCTCACAGGATCATCGTGGGCACCCAGGGAGTTAATATCTGCAACATGTTTACCCAACACCTTCCTGTGGTGGCCAACGGGAGGGGTCTCTTTCGGGGGGGGGCGGTTCTTCCCGGACCAGAATGCAAAATGGTCAGGTTGCTCGTTCCAGAAGGCTGACCAGCTCATCAGCACAAAGTACAAGCAACGTAACTGGGCCCCAATTACGTGTTGGGAAACTTTCTGGTTGGGAAAAGTAGGGGGTTAGTGCTGGAAACTTTCCTTGGGCCTCCCAGTATATAGAGCGCTGATAGGAAGTGGTGAGGAGTTGGGAATTTGAGGCTAAAGACCTGGAGTCTAGTGTGATTCTGGACTTAAGTGTTCAAAGAGAGGCCTTAACTTCTCCAGACCACAGCTGCCCTATGTGGTTTCAGTAACAGAGTTCAGGTTCCGGACATTAGGCTGGACTTTGCCCTGTGAACTCCCAGTGCAGTCCCTGTTTCGGCTCTGGTTCTAGAGTGACAAGCCACCTAGCTTCAGGTTCCCTGTAGGTTCCTGCACTGGTACCTTGTGATACTACCCTCCCTCATCAGGAAGGGAACAGCTTTGGAAACTCCGTCATTCCTGTTTGCTGGTGGGATGTCCCAGTATATGTGCTAGGAAGTCCTACCGAAGGGCTTCCTTCACCATTAGCAACCAGGTAAAAAGCTTGGCTTCTCCAGAAAGGCTGGTATGTGTTCTTCCTCTTGAATAATGAGGACAAGTTAACCTGATTTCCGTTTTCTCTTTGACCACTGGGAGGCTCAGCACTAAATGTGGAGCCCATCTCTGGTAGCTGTGTGAGGACCTTATGACCTGCTTATGTGAAATCTGTCCTTCGTTTCTGGATTAGATGTTTTCTTCAGATGTGTTTTTTCCTCCACTCCTGATTTTAGTGTTTATATTTTACTACCTTCTTTTCTTTGTGTTTCCTTGCCCTTTGTGGAACCAGGCTGGGGGTATGTAAAAACACTCACCATGTAAACACACAGGAAGCTGTCTTCTCAGCTGCTTTGTTGGCATGTTGCATTTTTTGCTTCCTCAGCTTCGTGAAGCTGTTTGTCTGCGTGGTTGCAATCCACTGGTCAGTTAGGAGATGCCTGGGGTTGGGTAGGGTGGCTGCTTTTTGCTTGTTTTTCTTTTCTTATCAGCTGCTTTGAATTTTTAAAATAATTTCTCTCCAAATCCATTAGTCACTGAAAGCACAGATAGTATCGTGGTGGATAGATGTGTGTGTTTATTTTTGTCTTCTTCTTCCTTTTCTTCTAATTTATTTCTTTAGCATTGCACAAGTATAACCTGTAGAATCCAAAAATGATAACAAGTGCAAAGCGAAAAAAATTACCTATAATTCCACCAGGGATACCACTTTCCAGCATTTTGTGATTCACCCTTCTGGATTTTTTTCTATGTTTATATTTTTCCCACAAACAAATAGACTCTAACTATGCATACTCTTTTATAACCTTCATTTTCATTTAATGAAAGATACTTGAAATTTATATTAAAGATAGATGCACATAATTTTTTTTTTTAAGCACAGAAGGACTTATTGTGAAAAGCAGTAACTGCCTCAGTCTTCCCCAGCCCCAGGCCTGGGTAAAAGGGGCAATTTTAATCATTTAGACTTCTTGTTATACAGTGGTTTCCTCCACTTAAGTAAAATGCTTATCCCACGATTTCTTGGCTTATCTGATTTACTGACTTGCTGCTGAGAAAAATAAAGCTTTCCATCAGTTCCATCACCCTTCCCCACTTCCTGCAAACATTTTCTGCCACTGTATTTGGCTACCTTTGCAATTTAAAATAAGATACTTAAGGACTTCCCTGGTGGTCCAGTGGTTGAGACTCCCATCTTCCACTGCAGGGGGCGCAGGTTCGATCCCTGGTCAGGGAACTAAGATCCCACATGCGGCGGGCGGGGGGGGGGGGGGGGGGGGGGGGGAGGGTGGTGGTGGAAAAATAAAATTAAATAATATACTTAAGCCTCAGTGTCTTGTTCCACTAACCACGGACAGTCTCTTGTGGCCCTCATTGCTCTCAGAGGAAGATATGGAGCCTCGACTTTTTCCTTGACTCCCCTGGCCCCCAGCATCACAATGCCTGTCTGTTGTACATTCAATGTAACATTTACATTCTGTTTAATAACCATAAATCTTCCATGAGTGACTGCGAGGCAGTATAGTTGAAGACCAGCGCCCCATGTTTGCATTCCTCTGTAAATCAGCCCACAGGAGTGGGCTGTACTTACAAGTCCTTCTCTTTGGGTCTAACGCCACTCAAAGGAGAATGTTAAATATACTTTCCTTATATTCCGTCAGGTGCTCAAAATCCATTACTTCATATTTTAGTTCGCTTCATATTTTGACCATGCTTTTTTACATAACTCTGTTTGCTTGTTGGTCTGGAGTCTCTAATACAATAGCATTTTACCAGCTGCGTAGTATTCCAGCAAAGGAAGTATTTGGGTTTATTTTCACCCAGTCCCCTGTGGTTGGACATTTAGGTTGTTTCAATTTTTCATTAACGTGAATGGTGCTATAATTGATGTTCTTTTACGTTCATCATTGTGCCTTTGTCTCGTACATAATGTTTGAGGGTTCGGGAATGCTGCTCCCCTTAAATCCGATCGCCTTGTCCCCAGCCCCATGCCACCCACTGCTTTGCTGATCTACCTTCAATCAGATCGGCGCATTCTAGAGGTTGGTATGGGAGGGGGGGCCCCCAGGTAATGTCCATCGATCGTCCTCTCCCCAGGCTCTGAAAAGCGGTCACTGCTCAGATTTGAAGTGGATCACATCTCCAACTATACAGCCCTCCTGCTGAGCAGGGATGGCAGGACTCTATACGTGGGTGCTCGAGAGGCCCTCTTTGCACTCAACAGCAGCGTCAGCTTCCTGCCAGGCGGGGGGTACCAGGAGGTGAGATGATGCCCGGGGATGGCTAGCCTGGGTGGAGGATGCCAGTGGGGAAGATGGAACTCCTGGGTCCGAGGATGATGCAAACGGGAAAGGAGGAAGGAAAAGAGGGGCATATCCTTCGTTCCCGCTTGCACACTTGCCTTCCCCTTTGTAATTCCCCAGCTGCCGTGGAGCGCAGATGCAGAGAGGAAACAGCAGTGCAGCTTCAAGGGCAAGGACCCACAGGTGAGCTAGCACCTGGAGGTGACCTGGGCTGAAGGAGGGATGGAGGGTGGTAGATCTGGGCCCGGGATGGAGGCAGGAGGTGGGAGCAGATGCAGCGAGCTGTGGTAGAAAGGGCATAGGCTTCTGAGATGGCCAGACCTGGGTTTGAGTCTCAGCTTACACTTACTGTGTCTGTGACATTGGACAAGTAAGTAGATTTGCCTCTCTGAGCCTTGGTAAAATGGGGATAATGATGCCTGTCTCACTGGACTTACCGTGAGGATTCAATGAGCTAATAGGTATAAGGCACCTGGCACATAATAAGTGCCAAATAAACATCAGCTTCCAGCATGAGCAGTGATTGGGTGGGGGTGGGAGTCTCCTTCTGAGGGTGGTGCCTAATGTAGCAGGTCTGACATAATCCTGGCTTGGTTTTGGCCAGACCACTGGGTAGGAGCCAGGCCAGCCTGGGGTTCTCTGGGAGGACTCCCCACCATTCCCAGAGGCCTTCCTGGTCCTGAGTGCAGCAGATGGCAGTTAAGGTGAAGGCAGAAGAGCACCGGACTTGGGGTCAACACACAGGTTCAAGTCCAGACCACCCCTGATTTCTTTTATTCAGCAGAAATGTATTAAGCACTTGCTCTGTGCCCAGGTGCTTTTAGACACTGGTTATTATATCATTGTGAAAAAGAAGGTCAGGTTTAAGAGGTGGTCAGGTTACACTTCATTTAAAAAGTGATATTTGAGCCGAGATTACTTGGCTCAAATGAGGTGAGGGAGTTGACATGGGGGAGGAACAGGACTGTAGATTTCACTCTGAGTGAGGTATGTGGGGAACCACTGGCTGGCTGAGCAGGGCAGTGACATGGTCTGGCGTGCGTTTGCAAAAGGTCACTCTGGCCGCGGCGGTGGAGAGCGGCCTCGTTGGGGCGAGGACAGAGGGAGGGAGACCAGTGAGGGGCAAGAGGCGATGGTGCCCGGACCAGGGTTGGACCAATAAAGGGAGTGAGGAACGGTCGGATCCCGGAAGTATTTTGAAGATGGGGCCACCAGGATTTCCTGATGGAAGGACCGGGGTGGTGGGTATCAGAGAGTCGAAGCTGGCCATGAGGCTCTGGGCCTGAGGAGCTGAGAAGGCGGAGTAGCCGTCAGTGCAAGGGGGCAGGTCCCAGAGGAGAGAGTTTTGTGGGGAACAATCAGAAGCTCAGTAGACACACTGTTAGAGCTGTTAGACACGCTCGCGGAGGCGATCCACAAGTCTGGGGCCCAGGATTCAGGGCTGCGTGTTTCCTCCTGTTCTGGGCGTAGCTGCCTCACCAGGTGGGGCCGAGACAGCTCAAAAGGGAGGGATTCTGTGCCTTCACCCCAAACTGAAGAGAAGTTTCCCAATCACGGAACTACGTGAGGCCCAAGGTCCCCTCCTGTGCACACGCTCCGTGGTCCTCCATCTGCTTTGCCCCACGAGGCTCCTGGAGTCTCGTTTACTCCAGGATTTGAGTACTGGGGAGCAGAGGCCTCACCCCCAGGCCTGGCCTTGCGTCCCGTGGGGAGGGCTCGGCGGTGCCCCCTGGTGGCTTGCTTGGGCCTGACATCCTCCTCCCTCCTCCAGCGGGACTGTCAAAACTACATCAAGATCCTCCTGCCACTCAACAGCAGCCACCTGTTCACCTGTGGCACCGCGGCCTTCAGCCCCGTGTGCACCTACGTTGTGAGTGCCCCTCCTCACCCCGGGCTCGCCTGCGGCTGGCCTGGGAACTGCCTGTCTTTGTGCCCCAGGGAGCTGGTCTCTAGCACTGACCCCTGCTAAAGGGCAGGGCCCAGGGGGAGGCTTCTTGACAGCAGTGGGCCCCGAGAGCCCTGAGGCCCAGCCCCAGCCCTGATGGCCAGGTTGCCCTGCAGGGGGCGGCGGGGGGTGGGATTCCCCAGGCACAAAAGTGCTGGCTGACCCACAGTCACGCCCTCTTGCTTCCTCCAGCTCTTTCCCCTGCTCTCACTCAGTTCCCGCCAGGCCACCTTGTCTACCCTCCTCAACACACGCATACCCTTTACGCACACCTTCGTAAAGGGTGGCATTTTGAGGCTTTGGAGCAACCAGCTTTGGAGTCAGACATACCTGAGTTTAAATCGTCGCTGCCCTTTCCTGGCTCACATTGCGTTTCTAAGCCTCCTCTCCTCTCTGTTACGTGGGGCAACAGTGCCCACCACGTCAGGTCCTGGTGAGACGGTGCTGGGACTGTGCCCGGGGTGCCCGTCAGACCCCTCCCTTCTCTCCAGCACACCTCCCTATTCTCCCGCCGAGCCCGCTCACTCCCTGGCGTGCCCCTGAGCTCTCCCATCTGCTCCCCTGCAGAACATGGAGAACTTTACCCTGGCACAGGACGTGGTGGGGAACATCCTCCTGGAAGATGGCAAGGGCCGTTGTCCCTTTGACCCCAATTTCAAGTCCACGGCCCTGGTGGTGGGTGAGTGTTGGGGGTCAGGGGGGCAGGATGGGCTCATTGAGGCTCCACGTGAGGGTGGGCAGGGGAGCAGGGTGGGCCCCAGGTCTGAGCTGGTGGGTCCATGCCACACCGATTCCCAGCGGGTGCGGCGACCCTGGGCTGCCCTCGGGTTGGCTTTTCTTAGTTCCTACTCCCTCCTCTGTCCTCCTCAAACAAGAAGGGCAGCACTCGTGTCACTCCGGGCCTTGAGCGGGAAGGGGCTGTGCTGAGGGCTCATTCCCATGGGCATGTCCTCTTGGCAGATGGCGAGCTGTACACTGGAACAGTCAGCAGCTTCCAGGGGAATGACCCAGCCATCTCACGGAGCCAAAGCCTCCGCCCCACCAAGACTGAGAGCTCCCTCAACTGGCTACAAGGTGAAGTCCTCTTGCCCCACCCAGTGGGCTGTCACGGGGCCTCAGGGAGGGGGCCCTGTCCACCCAGCAGGGCCTGAGAACAGAGTCTCGCCTGTCTGGGATCCCTGGGCTGACTCTGTGCTCCCCACTGGCCCCCACAGACCCAGCGTTTGTGGCCTCAGCCTACATTCCCGAGAGCCTGGGCAGCCTGCAAGGGGACGATGACAAGATCTACTTCTTCTTCAGCGAGACTGGTCAGGAGTTTGAGTTCTTTGAGAACACCATTGTGTCCCGCATTGCCCGTGTCTGCAAGGTGAGCAGGCCGGGCCATCCCAGAGACCCCGAAGGCTCCTCGGGTATAGAACCAGAAGGCCCCGCACCTGTGGCCTTCTCCTGTCCTCCAGGAGGAACGGCTTGGCTACTGGCTTTTCTCTCTCTCCTTTTCAGTTAAAATGTCTCTGTTTTTCCTTATTTATTTTAAAAAACATGAAAACGTAGAAAAGTACACACGAAAATCACTTACAAGATAAGAGGCACCGTGGTATCGTGATTAAGAGCAAAGACTCTAGAGCCAGGCTGCCTGGGTTCAAACCCTGCAGGCCGTGTGATCTTGGGCAGTTTCCTTACTGAGAAATCAGTTCGTTTCCTTCTCTGTTCAGTGGAAATCATAACAAAACTCCCTCAGGGTTGTTAACGATCTGTGTAGGGCTTTTAGAGATGTGGTGAGCAACCACTTGTTGTCGACTATTGGTGTTATAATCCCACCATCCTACCACAAGAAGTTAGAGTGTTCCTTGCTATTTTTTTTTTTGGCACATGTGTAAGTACATACATATTTATATTATTTAAAACCATGTACAAACAAGAGTTACACTGTAATGTGATTCTTTAGCTCCCCTTTTTGCTCAGTGGTGAATCGTGACATCTTTCCACGTTTGTAGATAGACTCCCCTTCGTCCTTTTCCCTGGTGTCCCACAGTAAGGAAAGCGCTGTCATTTACTTAGCTAGCCTCCCGGTGAGGGGACCTGACGGCTGCCACCTCAAGTCTTCTTGATGTGAAATGGACTCAGGCCTGGCTTTGGGTCTGTCTGGCTCTTCCTGGCGTCTGTCTCAGCCACCGTTGGGGAGGGGGCAGCGAGGAGCACCAAGTGTCCCACCCCTGCTCGTGCCTAAGCCCTGACCCTCTCTCCCTCTCCCAGGGTGATGAGGGGGGCGAGCGGGTCCTGCAGCAGCGCTGGACGTCCTTCCTGAAGGCCCAGCTGCTGTGCTTGCGGCCTGACGATGGCTTCCCGTTCAACGTACTGCAAGACGTCTTCACGCTGAGCCCCAGCCCCCAGGAATGGGGTGACACCCTCTTCTACGGGGTCTTCACATCCCAGTGGTAGGGCCCCCAGGACCTAGCTGGGAACGGGGTTGGGGGGATGAGTTGGGGGCGGGATTGGGCCCCGCTGGCCTCATTGTGAGCCCCAGGGCTGCTGGGCTAATCTGGCCACTTCCTTGGTAGGCACAGGGGGACCACAGAAGGTTCTGCCATCTGTGTCTTCACCATGAAGGACGTGCAGAGGGCCTTCAATGGCCTCTACAAGGAGGTGAACCGCGAGACGCAGCAGTGGTACACCGTGACCCACCTGGTGCCTTCGCCCCGGCCCGGTGCGGTGAGTGCTGCCCCTGTGCTGGGAGGATGGGTCCCCAACTGTGCTGGGATCACTTGCTTTCTCTGAGTTTGTTTTCTCACCTTGAAAGTGGGGACGAAGCCCAGGCCTGCTTGTCTTTCTGAGTTAGATGTGACCATGAATGTCGGGGTGGCTTCAAACCTGCTTTAGGCCAGGCAGGGGTGTCCCCCATCAGGACACTGACTGCACGTGCCTCTCCCCAGCTCTGCCATGAGCTCCTTATTTATTTATTGAGTGACAGGCCATGGGGAAATAGTCCTTTCTTCTTTCCTTCCAGCCTCATGGGCTCCCCACAAAGCAGACCTTGAGACAAGGATGTGAGTGCCAGCAGTTTTTAGGGGAGGTAATCCCAGGAAGAAGCAGGAGGGGACAGGATTGTGGGAGGAGGGGGCGGAGCTAAGAAAGTGTGTGTCACTGAGCTGCTACTGCTGTGGGCACCTGGAGCTCGTTCCCTGGGGCCCTGGGAGGCTGCGTGGAGCACATCTCAGCATTGTCCCACTGGGGTGTTTGTCACCAACTCCTGTGCAGTTGAGGGTCACTCCAGGGTATTAATTCCTGGGGCTTTTACAGAGAATGACCTGGGGCAGAGAGAATCAGGAAGTGCCCCTGGCAATATGGGAAACTAATTGCAGGCACCCTCATGCCCCTATACTAGGAAGCCTTGGTCAGCCAGGGCGTCCTGAGAGAGCACTGCCAAAAGGATGCTACAGGAGCAGGAAGTGTGGTCATGCTTCTTGAGGCTTGCGGAAGGGGGTGGGGGAAGGGTGGGCAGGAAGGAGAGATGGTTGGTGGGCAGAGAGGGGGAGACCCTGGCAGCTGGGGCCCTTGGGCACCCCACACCCTGGGCTTTGCCCTTAGGCCTGTAGATCAGTGCGCTGGCTTCGCAGAACTGGAGTGCTGTGCTGTGGCTTCCAAGGGCGGGGCAGGTACCCCTGCTGTTCACTGGGGAGATAGGGCCGGCAGTCCCAGTGGGATTTGCAGGACCCACATCCTGCTTGCTGCCCTGAGTGCCACTCGCCTCAAGCCACCGCCTTCTCCTTCAGTGCATCACCAACAGCACCCGGGAAAGGAAGATCAGCTCGTCCCTGCAGCTCCCCGACCGTGTGCTGAACTTCCTCAAGGACCACTTCCTGATGGATGGGCAGGTCCGCAGCCGCCTGTTACTCCTGCAGCCCCAGGCCCGCTACCAGCGTGTGGCTGTCCACCGCGTCCCTGGCCTGCAGCGCACCTACGACGTCCTCTTCCTAGGCACTAGTGAGTGCCCACAGTAGGGCAGGCTCAGAGTCAACGGGGCTAGCTTTTGGGACATGGGCCTCAGGCTCTGTGCAGGGCCTGAGTGCTGTCCATGTTGCAGGTGACGGCTGGCTGCACAAGGCGGTGAGCGTGGGCCCCGGGGTGCATATCATCGAGGAGCTCCAGATCTTCTCATCAGGACAGCCTGTGCAGAACCTGCTCCTGGATGCCGACAGGGTGAGCAGAGGAGGAGTCCGGGCAGCGTGCTTGGGGTACCCGACCCCTGCCCCAGCCAGATGGAGAGATCCAGGCTTCTGGCATAAGCTCTCAGAATGTGGGGGCCCGGGAGCATGAGAGGAGGCCCCCTGTCGGTGGCTTTTGTGTGCACTCCAGCCGGGTGCAGCTCTGGGTGGTGGCCCTGGCTGCCTGTGCCTGCTTCTCATCCCCCGTGCCTGTGCAGGGACTGCTGTATGGTGCCTCACACTCGGGTGTGGTCCAGGTGCCCGTGGCCAACTGCAGCCTGTACCAGAGCTGCGGGGACTGCCTCCTGGCCCGGGACCCCTACTGCGCTTGGAGCGGCTCCAGCTGCAAGCACGTCAGCCTTTACCGGCCTGCGATGGCCTCCAGGTGAGAGCTCCTGAAGGCCCCACCCACTTGTCCAACCCTATGCACTAGGCCTCCGAGTGCCTTCCCTAGGCCCTCTGTGGAATCACCACACAGCCTCATTTGTGTCCACTGTCTGGGAATAATTATTAATCAGCTCCCCTTCTGACTCTCATCAAGTGTTGTAGTTCAAACGATAAATTATGTTTGCCTTACCCATCTGTAAAGCAGAGACAAGATTTGGTAAAGTATGAAATATCAGAGCTATGAAAAGCTTTGCAGGAGAATGTCGATTGGCATGTGAATATAGTTAAGGAACAAAAAAATAAGGGCTACATTACAGTCCCATTAAGGGAATTCCCTGGCGGTCCAGTAGTTAGGACTCTGCGCTTCCACTGCAGTGGTCACAGGTTCGATCCCTGATTGGGGAACTCAGGTCCTGCAAGTGGTGCGGCCAAAAACCAACCAACCCATTAAAAACTGTTTTCAAAATCACTTATTTAGATTTAAAATTTTCATATAGAAAAAAATAGAGATAAATAAAATTAAAACTACCCTAATCCTACCACCTAGAGAGACTTACAGTGAGATTTTAATATATATCCCCCCAGATTTTTCTACATATGTGTAAAATAAACAAAAATACACATATTTTAAGTAAACATGGGATCTGTCCTATTTGTAGTGTACATACTTCACTCAAGGGGATACCCGGTTCCAGTTTTATATTTCAAAACACCGTGTATGCGTATACATATGTACACCTGAAGGCACGCTCAAAAAAATGCTGCCTGCCATTCTCGCTGGATGGTTGATTGTGACTTTTATAATGTTTTTAGCCTTTGTGCTTTTTTTCCAGTTTTCTAAAAACAAATCAATGCATGTGCATTGCTTTAAAAGAGACAGGTATATACATACAGATAGAGCTGTCCTTCCAGACTTTTTCTAAGAGCTCAACTCAACTGCTTTTGTAATTCAGGGAAGTATTACAGTACCTTTTTTTTTTTTTTAAATATTTATTTACTTGGCTGCACCGGGTCTCAGTTGCAGTACACAGGATCTTTCGTTGCGGCACAGGGGCTTTTCTCTAGTTGTGGCACACAGGCTCTAGAGCACGTGGGCTTAGTTGCCGCGCGGCTGTGGAATCTTAGTTCCCCGACAGGGATCGAACTCACATCCCCTGTGTTGGAAAGTGGATTCTTTACCACTGGCCCACCAGGGAAGTCCCTACAGTAACTTTTAACTGAAGTAAATACTGTGTAGACAGAGGAGATGCCGGCACAAACCCTGCGGGGTGGGGAATCCACCCAGGGAAGCCGCCTGCCTTTCACCCCCGCTTTGGGCCTGGTGGTCCCTGAGCCCTTCCCCAGGCCCACACCTGCAGGGCTGCGTGAGGGCATGTGCTGCACAGAGGGTGGGCAGATGCGATCTTGTGGGGGTTCCTGGCCCATCCCAGACTCTTCTTTGGTCCTCAGGCCATGGATCCAGGACATCGAGGGGGCCAATGCCAGGGAACTCTGCAACACTTCCTCGTCCAAGGCCCGGAGTTTTGTACCAAGAGGTAAGGTGCCCCATCAGGGTGGAGGAGATGTGGGGGGTCTAGAAGGTTAGAAGGCTCCTGCAGCCACTGCTGTGTGTTAATGCCTTTCCTCACTTCCTCACCCCTTTGGCCCTGCAAGCAGGACCCTGGAAAGTGAGACCCCCAGTCCCCGAAGTCCCCAGAGTTGTTGTTACAGCAGGAGGACCATAGCGCAGAGGGAGGTGGGTGAGCCTGGGGCTACCGTGGACATCAGCCCCCCTTTACCCGGGACTGTGCCTCCTTTGCCTGCAGGTGAGAAGCATTGTGAGCCAGTCCAGTTCCAGCCCCACACAGTGAACACTTTGGCCTGCCCCCTCCTCTCCAACTTGGCAACCCGGCTCTGGCTGCACAACGGGGTCCCCATTAATGCCTCGGCCTCCTGCCGCGTGCTGTCCACCGGGGACCTGCTGCTGGTGGGCAGGCAGCAGGAGCTGGGGGAGTTCCAGTGCTGGTCACTGGAGGAGGGCTTCCGGCAGCTGGAGGCCAGCTACTGCCCAAAGGTGGTGGAGGACGCAGTGGCAGACCGAGCAGACCAGAGTGGCAGCGTGCCCGTCATCATCAGCACGTCTCGGGTGAGCGCGCCGGCCGGGGGCAGGGCCAGCTGGGGTGCAGAGAAGTCCTACTGGACCGAGTTCCTAGTGATGTGCGCGCTGTTCGTGTTCGCCATGGTGCTCTTCATTTTATTCTTCCTCTACCGGCACCGGGGTGGCATGAAAGTCTTCCTGAAGCAGGGGGAGTGTGCCAGCGTACACCCCAAGATGCACCCAGTGGTACTGCCACCTGAGACCCGGCCGCTCAATGGCGTGGGCCCCCCTAATACCCCACTCGACCACCGAGGCTACCAGGCTCTGTCGGACAGCTCCCCAGGGCCCCGGGTCTTCACAGAGTCAGAGAAGAGGCCGCTCAGTATCCAGGACAGCTTCGTGGAGGTGTCCCCGGTGTGTCCCCGGCCCCGGGTCCGCCTGGGCTCTGAAATCCGGGACTCTGTGGTGTGAGAGCAAACTTCTAGAGGCAGCCTCCCTCTAGGGGCCAGGAGTGCTCAGAGAGGATCGGCTGGACCCCTGCTCCTCGTGGAACACAGCCGCGGTGCCCAGCCCTCGGGAGCGATGGAGCCAGCTTGCCTGGTGTCAAGCAACAAGGCCCCTCCACCCCAGATGGCCACAGCCCCACAGGGCCTGGCTGAAGATCGGGGCCTGCCCGGGTGGGCAGAACAGTGCTCCTTATGAAACTGAGCCCTTTGTTTCAAAACAGTTGAAAATGTGAAACAAGAGAAAACAGTGAGAGAACACAGAATGCCATGCACACGGCCGGCCCAGTCTCCAGACTGGGAGGGCTCATCCAAAGTGGTTGTTGGAGACAGAGTTGGACATCCCACACCAACTGGCCTCTTCCACCTTCCGCCTTATCCTACTGCCACAGGCTGCCCCTTCTCACGGCAGAGCCAGGGGCCAGCTCGGGCTCCAGTGGGTCCAGCCTCGCCGGCTGGCCAAGTTGTTGCAGCCATCATCCTGTCACCTCAGGGACCGGAGGGCCACACTGGCACCAGAGCCCTCACGACGCCCTGGGCTCAGACCCACCTCCTGGACCTTTCCGGCCTGTATCAGGCTGCGGCCACATGAGAGAGACAGAGGGCAGTGTGAGCCCAGGAGAGAGTATATGACAATGTACACCTTCCCTCGGAATTCCAGGAAGACTGTTGCCTGCCTTCCTCCATCCCAGCCTGCAAACCTGTGTCCCTTTTCCCCACACCTGCCCTGGCCTCCTCTTCAAAACCAGTCCCCAGTTCACCCCTACACCTTGCAGCCTCCACTCTAAGGGATGTTGATACTGCCCAGCACAGGGGCCCTGAGTTTATGTGGGTTTTGTATTCTTTTTAATAAAATGCACTTTACTTTTTTTTTTTAATAAAATCTAAAGAATTGAAATTGAATCATGCCCCTTCCAAAAAGCAAAGGACTGTTGCATTTTGAGGCTGGTATAGTTCTTTGAGTTCTGGGAGGTTCTAGGCCTCCTCTTTCAGGTGCTAGTGGGCCAGACCCAGCCCAGCCTGGCCAACCACACCTCCCAGCAGAGCCAGGTTCTTAAAGTGGGGAGTTCAACCAACACACTGATGGGCGGGGGAGGGGATTTGTTCACTTTACTTCAGTCCCTTTACTTTGCATCCCCAGTTCAGTTCAGGGATGGGGCACAGGGGACAAGGTCTTGAGTTTTCTTGTTTTAACTTGAAAAGAATTTTTATCTTTAAAATGATCATACAGTAAAACTAACTTTTTTCTTTTAGTACACAGTTCTGCAAGTTTTAACACATGTATAAAATCATGTAACCACCACCACAAATCAGGATACAGAAGAGTTCCACCCCTCATGTTACCCTTCATACTCACACCCTCACGAGGGGTGGGAAGCGCGGGGTACAGCCTGACTTCCTGCTGTCCGCTTTAGATCCTTATTCCCAGTGTGACCAAAGGCTCCTAGAAGTCCACTCCTTCCTCATGCCAGCGTTTCTAGTGTCACACAAAGGCCCAAAACTTCTAAACCTTTATTATTGACTAGCAGAAACACAAACAGCGATGACAGTGACAGTGAGAAGGGGAGAAGCCTTGACATGGAGGACCCTCCCCTGTCCCAAGCAAGACTGCGCAGTGCCACCTCCAGGCTGGGCCAGCTTGGCCGGCCCTGGCAACACAGGGGTAACCTTGGCCGTGGCTCAGCAGTGGAAAGTTTCTTCGACAGGGTGCTGGGACACACGCTGTGGCTCCTGTCACAGGACAATCTTAAAGGAGCTGAACAAAAGAAGAATGCATTGGGTTTTCTGCTGGCAGAGGAAGGTAGGGACTAAACCCAAACTTCCCTACCTCTCCCCTAAGACCCTTTGGAATGGGCTGTGTCCCATATCTGTGAGTCCCCTCTAGAAGAAGAGCTACTCTACTACATTCAGAGGAAGCAGGAGGCTTTCTCTAACCCCAGGTACCGCCTCCCATAATAACGTCGCAGACTCAGTGCAACAAATGAGCACCACAGTCATACCTGGCAAAGTCTGGTGAGCGGGAGATGACATGCTGGAATTCAGAAAGATTGATGGTCCCATCCCTATCAATGTCAGACTCTTCTAGGATCTGGGAAAGGGAAAGCTTCAGGCCAAAGCCCAACCCTTCCCTCCTGCTCCCCGGCCCGGCCCAGCCGAGCCCGGCCCCGTTGCTCACATTGTCGATGAGCTGCTTCATCTCTGAGGCACTGAGCCGTGTGTCCTCCCCCTCTCCCGTGAGGCAGTTCACGAGCTGGCTCAGGTCTTCTCTGTTCAAGGTTCCGTCATCATCAAAATCTAGAAAGCAGACGCAGGAAGCCAGAAAGGACGTGGTCAGGATGAGCTCCAAGCTCCTGACCCCCAGCTCCCAAGCAGTACCCCCACGAAGACCATGTTGGAAGGGGTGGTGTTCCACCCGGCCCCTGGTTCTTACCGAAGATGCGGAAGGCATAGTGGGACTTGATGTCTGGGGTGGCTGTGTCACTGAATACACTGAGGAGGTCCAAGAAGTCCTCAAAGCTCAGGCTGTCTCTGGTTGGGGAAGTGGAGAAGACCCTGCAGATTCGCTCCTTGAAGGGGTTGGCCTAGGCAAGAAAGCCCTCTATGAATGCCACAGGATGCAGCCCAAGTCACACACTCAAACCCCACTGGGAAACTGGAGGGAACAGTTCAGGCTCTCGAGGGGAGAACGATCAGTGCTTTGGGGCCAGCATGGAGCTCAGGAGGACCAATGACCCAGCTGGGGATGGCTTCCCAGGAGTCAGAGCTTAACCCAAAGGCAGGCCTGGGAGGACAGAAGGAAGAGGAAGGCATCCTAAGCAAAGAGGACAAGATGGGCTGGTTATTTTAAAACACAAAACATTTCACTGAGCACTTACCGTGTTACAGGCACTAGGCCAGGCACTTTGCATAGCAATTTTCACAGCAGCCCTATGGAGAGCAATCAGCCTCTGGAACAGGGTTTCTCAAGCTTTAATAAGGTAATTCAACTCCTCTTAAAGGATAAAACTTGTTTGAACCTCCAAGAATATGTCTGAGAATCCCAGGTTGCACAACACCCTTCTATATAATTCCCTTGGATGATTTTGGTAAAGCCCTAGCCCCCAGGAAATCAGGGCTAAAAAGGGAAAAGACTAGAATGGGGACCAGTGACCACATGATCTCAAAAGGAGTAGCAGAGGGAGGCTGGGGGGCTGGCACCTTGAGCTCTGGAAGGCTGAGGATCTGCTCCAAGGACACTCGTGCCTGCAGTGACTCCTCCACACTCCGGTGCTCCTGGGGAAGAAGCTCACAAAACCGCCTGTGGGCTCTGGCAGAAGGAGGGGAACCTGTTGTTGTCCCTTCCTGAGTGTATTACATCCCCACTCCTTGCCTTGCTACCCATTATAAACCAGGTGAGGAGCTAAGCCACACACACAGTATGTCTGAGTCTCAGGCATAAGCCAAGAGGAGATGTATCACAAGACAATATAGGCTGGGAGTCCATTCTTGCAATGGGTATTGACTGTGGGCCCACTGTGTCCCAGGCACTGGGCCCTGGTTCTAGACCTCCTGAGGGACAGAGAGGTCTGGGAAGGAGCCAGAAGTTGGCCCTGAAGAACAAATGAAAAGAGCTGAACTGAAATCTCATTCTCATTTCATTTCAGGAATCTCCTGCTGCTCCTCAAAGCAGCTACCCTGAACTATCTCCTCCTTAGGCACCATCTCATTCCCACTGGGATTACTTTTGCCCAGAGAAGCTCAGTAATCTTCTCACTCAAGTGCCCTGGCCACATAAAGCTTGCCCACGGCTAGGAAGGGGGTTCCAGTCCCAGTTCAAATTCTCCTACTCAGTCTTAGGCAAATTATCAAACTGTTTCATTGTCCCCATACCTCCGTCGTGAGGGTTAAATTAGGTAATGTAGACAACCTCGTAGCACAGCCTGGCACATGGCAAGTGCTCAATAAGCGTTAACGGTTACTGTATTATTCAGGTAAAGGAGGAGCCAGGCTCCCCAAGTAGGTAAAGCAGCCCAGAACTACAGCAGCCCCTGCCGGACTGGAGCAGGAACTTCGGTTATGCAGAAGCCAGTAGGCGAGGTCAAAGAGCGCCCAACTTTGGCTGGAAGCTGCGAGGTGACTCCACGGTGCACAGCTGCGGCCGCCGGCGCCAGCGGGGAGGTCGTGCCGGGAAGAGGGCACAGCCTAGCGCCCAGGGCCCTGCACTCCAGTTCCAGGGCTCAGCTCCTGACCTCGGGCAGGCCCCTGCCGCTCCCTCTGGCGGGGCCTCAGTTTGCCCACCTGTAAGACAGAGCCTCCCCCCGCCCCCCACCCCCGAAATCGTCCCTAGAAGATCCCGGAGGTGAGGTTCGAGACAGCACTTACAGGAGGATCTCCTGTTTGGTCAGGAACGTCAAGTCCTGGAAGGCAAAACAAGACAGGGGGTCAGCGGGCGGCCCGGGGCCAGAGGCCGCGGCCGCTGCCCTGCCGCCGCTCGGGGACGCCCCCAACCGCCCGAGCGCAGGGCCGCGCGCAAACTCCCTGGGAACTGGCGTCTCACGCACCTGGTACTCGACCAGCAGCTCCTTGGACAGGCGACTGCCCGAGCCCCCCATTGCCGCGCCGCGCGTACTGCTCCGCCAACTCCTCTCGGGACGCCGGTAACTTTCTCACTTCCGCCCTCGGGCCGCGTCACTGCCCAGTCCCCGCGGCAACCGCTCCTGCGGCTACCGCCCCCAGGCCCGCCCCCTCCTTTAAAGTTCCCAGGCGCTCCCCGCCCGGTTCAGCCAGCTGGATCCCGGCTCTAGGCAGTTCCCGGCGAGCTGGAGGCGGGGCCCGCGGCGGGGCCGGACGTTCCAGGGCGGAGCCCAGGCCGCACGACCCCGCCTCCTGGATGGGCGGGACGGGCCGCGCCGCGTGCCTGCGTGCAGCTTGCGCAGGCGTTAAGGGTGCCACGACCTCGCTATGGCCCCGGCAGGATTTCGGGGGAAGGCGAGCGTGTTCGCCTCACCTGCATTGCGTGGCGGCGGGGACGGGGCGGCTTTGTGTGGAGACCGGTAAGGGGCATTAGGGAAGTGTTTGGAGCAAGGGTAACCGAGAAACCTTGTGACTCGCTGAGTGGCCCGAGGCGGTCGGCTGCCCCTCTGCCCAACGAGGACTCTTCCACTCAGACGTTACCACCGAGCACCTGCCGTACGTGTTGCAACCCTCATACCACCTCTCCAGAAATAACCATAACCTTTCTGCCTACTGAGGCCGTTTACTGAGGGCCCACTGAAGCGCTCTGCATAGCTTCAGTTCTTACAACAGTTCTGCAAGGTAAGTTACCGTTTTACAAATTTGGAAATGCAGAGGCTCAGGGGAGTTCAGTGACTTGTCTAGACTCGGTCATTTACAAAGCCGTCTCTCCAGTCTAAGGCTCTTTTCAAGAATCCGCCCTGCTGTACTCATTCCAGCCTACATGCTGTCCTCTGACCCCACCCTGCGTCCAGACTGCATGCTGGGGGAGGCAGGGATCGAAGCTGACCTGTTTGCTCTTGTCCCCTCTCAACTCCTAGGACAATGCTTGACACATGGTAGGCTCTCAATATTTATTGGATGCATGCATGAATGAATTAACCTACACTGTTCCAAAAGGTGAGGATCACAAGCTACTGCGTGGAGGAGGTGGAGGTGCGGTTAATTTTTTTTCCCACATCTTTAATGGAGTATAATTGCTTTACATTGTTGTGTTAGTTGCTGCTGTATAACAAAGTGAATCAGCTATACGTATACATATATCCCCATATCCCCTCCCTCTTGCGTCTCCCTCCCACCCTCCCTATCCCACTCCTCTAGGTGGTCACAAAACACCGAGCTGATCTCCCTGTGCGATGCGGCTGCTTCCCACTAGCTATCTGTTTTACATTTGGTAGTGCATATATGTCCATGCCACTCTCTCACTTCGTCCCATCTTACCCTTCCCCCTCCCCGTGTCCTCAAGTCCATTCTTTACGTTTATGTCTTTATTCCTGTCCTGCCCCTAGGTTCTTCAGAACCATTTTTTTTTAAGATTCTATATATATGTATCAGCATATGGTATTTGTTTTTCTCTTTCTGACTTACTTCACTCTGATAAAAGACTCTTAAGTCCACCCACCTCACTACAAATAACTCAATTTCGTTTCTTTTTATGGGTGAGTAATATTCCATTGTGTATATGTGCCCATCTTTTTTTTTAATTTATTGATTTTTTTATTTTTGGCTGCATTGGCTCCTTTGTTGCTGTGCACGGGCTTTCTCTAGTGGTGGCGAGCGGGGGCTACTCTTCGTTGTGGTGCGCGGGCTTCTCACTGTGGTGGCTTCTCTTGTTGCGGAGCACGGGCTCTAGGTGCACGGGCTTCAGTAGTTGTGCCACGTGGGCTCAGTAGCTGTGGCTCGTGGGCTCTAGAGCGCAGGCTCAGTAGTTGTGACGCACAAGCTTAGTTGCTCTGTGGCATGTGGGATCTTCCCAGACCAGGGCATGAACCCATGTCCCCTGCATTGGCAGGCGGACTCCTAACCACTGTGCCACCAGGGAAGCCCATGCCACATCTTCTTTATCCATTCATCCATCAATGGACACTTAGGTTGCTTTCCATGTCGTGGCTATTGTAAATAGTGCTGCAGTGAACATTGTGGTACATGACTCCTTTTGAATTATGGTTCTCTCAGTATTTGCCCAGTAGTGGGATTGCTGGGTCATATGGTAGTTCTATTTAGTTTTTTAAGGAACCTCCATACTGTTCTCCATAGTGGCTGTATCAATTTACATTCCCACCAGCAGTGCAAGAGGGTTCCCTTTTCTCCACACCCTCTCCAGCATTTATTGTTTGTTTGTTTGTTTGTTTTTTTAATTCAAAACTATATTTGCAGTTTCTAAAATGCTGATCCATAGACCACTCTCTCGTTACACACGTGCACCAATGGAGAAGCAAAGAGAACCCTGGTCATCCCACGAGAGGAACAGCTCCTCATCCAACAGTCTTCAGAAGGCTACACGTGCAGTCCCTGCGCCCGTCCAGGTGGCGATGCAGTAAATACACAGCTCGCCCTGCTCGCCTCGGTCCAGCCAGGCCCGCCACTAGCTGTTGTAGGCCCACTCCTTTTTGGACTTCTCCAGGACCTTGTCCATGGTCTTCTCGTTCTCCCCTCAATATTTGGGGCAGTACCACTTGCCCTTGGGTTTATGGTTCAGCCCCACGCAGGAGAAGTGGAACCACTCGATGGGGCACTCGTCATTGTCACAGCCGATCATCTCTCCATAGGAGACCTGATTGCACAGACAGTACGTGGGCTCGTTCAGGTCAATGGGAAGGTCCGCAGGGGATGCTTCCCTCTCGGCTTTGGCCTTGGAGCGTTTCTTCTTCTTGGAGGCCTTCGCCGCCTTCTCTGTAGATTTTTTGATGATGGCCATTCTGACCCGTGTGAGGTGATACCTCATTGTAGTTAGATTTGCATTTCTCTAATGATTAGTGATATTGAGCATCCTTTCATGTGTTTGTTGGCAATCTGTATATCTTCTTTGGAGAAATGTCTGTTTAGGTCTTCTGCCCATTTTTGCATTGGGTTGTTTGTTTTTTTGATACTGAGCTGCATGAGCTGCTTGTATATTTTGGAGATTAATCCTTTGTCAGTTGCTTCACTTGCAAATATTTTCTCCCATTCGGAGGGCTGTCTTTTTGTCTTGTTTAAGGTTTCCCTTGCTGTGCATAAGCTTTTAAGTTTCATTAGGTTTCATATGTTTATTTTTGTTTTTACTTCCATTTCTCTAGGGGATGGGTCAAAAAGGATCTTGCTATGATTTATGTCATAGAGTGTTCTGCCTGTATTTTCCCCTAAGAGTTTGATAGTGTCTGGCCTTATAGTTAGGTCTTTAATCTACTTGAGGTTATTTTTGTGTATGGTGTTAGGAAGTGTTCTAATTTCATTCTTTTACATGTAGTTGTCCAGTGTTCCCAGGACCACTTATTGAAGAGACTGTCTTTTCTCCATTGTATATTCTTGCCTCCTTTATCAAAGATAAGGTGACCATATGTGCATGAGTTTATCTCTGGGCTTTCTATCCTGTTCCATTCTGTCCTTTCTATCCTGTTCCTGTTCTATCCTGTTCCATTGATCTATATTTTTGTTTTTGTGCCAGTACCATACTGTCTTGATTACTGTAGCTTTGTAGTATAATCTGAAGTCAGGGACCCTGATTCCTCCAGCTCCATTTTTCTTTCTCAAGATTGCTTTGGCTTTTCAGGGTCTTTTGTGTTTCCATACAAATTGTGAAATTTTTTGTTCTAGTTCTGTGAAAAATGCCATTGATAGTTTGATAGGGATTGCATTGAATCTGTAGATTGCTTTGGGTAGTAGAGCCATTTTCACAGTGTTGATTTGTCCAATCCAAGAACATGGTATATCTCTCCATCTGTTTGTGTCATCTTTAATTTCTCTCATCAGTGTCTTATAATTTTCTGCATACAGGTCTTTTGTCTCCTTAGGTAGGTTTATTCCTAGGTATTTTATTCTTTTTGTTGCAGTGGTAAATGGGAGTGTTTACTTAATTTCTCTTTCTATCTTTTGTTGTTAATGTATAGGAATGCAAGAGATTTCTGTGCATTAATTTTGTATCCTGCCACTTTACCAAATTCATTGATTAGCTCTAGTAGTTTTCTGGTAGCATCTTAAGGATTCTCTATGTAGAGTATCATGTCATCTGCAAACAGTGACAGTTTTACTTTTTCTTTTCCAATTTGTATTCCTTTTATTTCTTTTTCTTCTCTGATTGCTGTGGCTAAAACTTCCAAAACTATGTTGAATACTAGTAGTGAGAGTGGGCAACCTTGTCTTGTTCCTGATCTTAGTGAAAATGGTTTCAGTTTTTCACCATTGAGAACAATGTTGGCTGTGCGTTTGTCATATATGGCCTTTATTATGTTGAGGTAAGTTCCCTCTGTGCCTACTTTCTGGAGAGTTTTTATCATAAATGGGTATTGAATTTTGTCAATAGCTTTTTCTGCATCTGTTGAGATTATCATATGATTTTTATCCTTCAGTTTATTAATATGGTGTATCACATTGATTGATTTGCGTATATTGAAGAATCCTTGCATTCCTGGGATAAACCCCACTTGATCATGGTGTATGATCCTTTTAATGTACTGCTGGATTCTGTTTGCTAGTATTTTGTTGAGGATTTTTGCATCTGTGTTCACCAGTGATATTGACCTGTAGTTTTCTTTTTTTGTGACATCTTTGTCTGGTTTTGGTACTAGGGTGATGGTGGCCTCGTAGAATGAGTTTGGGAGTGTTCCTCCCTTTGCTATACTTTGGAAGAGTTTTAGAAGGATAAGTGTTAGCTCTTCTCTATATGTTTGATAGAATTCACCTGTGAATCCATCCGGTCCTGCACTTTTGTTTGTTGGAAAATTTTTAATCACAGTCTCAATTTCAGTGCTTGTGATCGGTCTGTTTATATTTTCTATTTCTTCCTGGTTCACTCTTGGAAGGTTGTGCTTTTCTAAGAATTTGTCCATTTCTTCCAGGTTGTCCATTTTATTGGCATATATAGTTGCTTGTAGTGATCTCTCATGATCCTTTGTATTTCTGCAGTGTCAGTTGTTACTTCTCCTTTTTCATTTCTAATTCTGTTGATTTGAGTCTTCTCCCTTTTTTTCTTGATGAGTCTGGCTAATGGTTTATCATTTTTGTTTATCTTCTCAAAGAACCAGCTTTTACTTTCATTGATCTTTGCTGTCATTTCCTTTATTTCTTTTTCCTTTATTTCTGATCTGATCTTTATGATTTCTTTCCTTTTGCTAACTTTGGTGGGTTTTTTGTTCTTCTTTCTCTAATTGCTTTAGGTGTAAGGTTAGGTTGTTTATTTGAGATTTTTCTTGTTTCTTGAGGTAGGATTGTATTGCTGTAAACTTCCCTCTTAAAACTGCTTTTGCTGCATCCCATAGGTTTTGGGTTGTCATGTTTCCATTGTCATTTGTTTCTAGGTATTTTTTTATTTCCTCTGATTTCTTCAGTGATTTCTTGGTTATTTAGTATTGTTTAGCCTCCATGTGTTTGTATTTTTTACAGATCTTTTCCTGTAATTGATATCTAGTCTCATAGCGTTGTGGTCAGAAAAGATACTTGATACAATTTCAATTTTCTTAAATTTACCAAGGCTTCATTTGTGACCCAAAATATGGTCTATCCTGGAGAATGTTCCATGAGCACTTGAGAAAAATGTGTATTCTGTTGTTTTTGGATGGAATGTCCTATAAATATCAATTAAGTCCATCTTGTTTAATGTATCATTTAAAGCTTGTGTTTCCTTATTTATTTTCATTTTGACTGATGTGTCCATTGGTGAAAGTGGGGTGTTAAAGTCCCCTACTATTTTTGTGTTACTGTCAATTTCCCCTTTTATGGCTGTTAGATTTGCCTTATGTATTGAGGTGCTCCTATGTTGGGTGCGTAAATATTTACAATTGTTATATCTTCTTCTTGGATTGATCCCTTGATCATTATGTAGTGTCCTTCTTTGTCTCTTGTAATAGTCTTTATTTTAAAGTCTGTTTTGTCTAATATGAGAATTGCTACTCCAGCTTTCTTTTGATTTCCATTTGCATGGAATATCTTTTTCCATTCCCTCACTTTCAGTCTGTATGTGTCCCTGGGTCTGAAGTGGGTCTCTTGTAGACAGCATATGTACGGGTCTTATTTTTGTATCCATTCAGCCAGTCTGTGTCTTTTGGTTGGAGCATTTAATCCATTTACATTTAAGGTAATTATCTATATGTATGTTCCTATTACCATTTTCTCAATTGTTTTGGGTTTGTTATTGTAGGTCTTTTCCTTCTCTTGTGTTTCCTGCCTAGAGAAGTTCCTTTAGCATTTGTTGTAAAGCTGGTTTGGTGGTGCTGAATTCTCTTACCTTTTGCTTGTCTGTAAAGGTTTTTTTTTGGGTTCGCGGGCCTGTCACCGTTGTGGCCTCTCCCGTTGTGGAGCACAGGCTCCGAACGCGCAGGCTCAGCGGCCATGGCTCACGGGTCCAGCTGCTCCGCGGCATGTGGGATCTTCCCAGACCGGGGCACGAACCCACGTCCCCACGTCCCCTGCATCAGCAGGTGGACTCTCAACCACTGCGCCACCAGGGAAGCCCAGTGTAAAGGTTTTAATTTCTCTGTCGAATCTGAATGAGATCCTTGCTGGGTAGAGTAATCTTGGTTGTAGGTTTTTCCCTTTCATCACTTTAAATATGTCCTGCCACTCCCTTCTGGCTTGCAGAGTTTCTGCTAAAAGATCAGCTGTTAACTTTATGGAGATTCCCTTCTGTTAGTTGTTGCTTTTCCCTTGCTGCTTTTAATATTTTTTCTTTGTGTTTAATTTTTGATAGTTTGATTTATATGTGTCTTGGAATGTTTCTCCTTGGATTTATCCTGTATGGGACTCTCTGCGCTTCCTGGACTTGATTGACTCTTTCCTTTCCCATATTAGGGACGTTTTCAACTATAATCTCTTCAGATATTTTCTCAGACCCTTTCTTTTTCTCTTCTTCTTCTGGGACCCCTATAATTCTAACGTTGGTGCGTTTAATGTTGTCCCAGAGGTCTCTGAGACTGTCCTCAATTCTTTTCATTCTTTTTTCTTTATTCTGCTCTGTGGTAGTTATTTCCACTATTTTATCTTCCAGGTCACTTATCCGTTCTTCTGCCTCAGTTATTCTGCTATTGATTCCTTGTAGAGAATTTTTTATTTCATTTTTTGTGGTGTTCATCATTGTTTGTGTGCTCTTTAGTTCTTCTAGATCCTTGTTAAATGTTTCTTGTATTATCTCCATTCTGTTTCCAAGATTTTGGATCATCTTTACTATCATGACTCTGAATTCTTTTTCAGGTAAATTGCCTGTTTCCTCTTCATTTGTTTGGTCTGGTGGGTTTTTGCCTTGCTCCTTCATCTGCTGCGTATTTCTCTGTCTTTTCATTTTGCTTAACTTACTGTGTTTAGGTCTCCTTTTCGCAGGTTGCATGTTCGTAGTTCCTGTTGTTTTTGGTGTCTGCCCGCAGTGGGTAAGGTTGGTTCAGTGGGTTGTGTAGGCTTCCTTGTGGGGGGGACTGGTGGATGAGGTTGGATCTCGTCCTTCTGGTGAGCAGGACCATGTCCAGTGTTGTGTTTTGGGGTGTCTGTGAACTTAGTATGATTTTAGGTAGCCTCTCTGCTAATGGGTGGGGTTGTGTTCCTGTCTAGTTGTTTGGCATGGGGTGTCCAGCACTGGAACTTGCTAGTCGTTCAGTGGATCTGGGTGTTAGTGTTGAGATGAAGTTCTCTGGGAGAGCTCTCACCGATTGATATTACATGGGGCCAGGAGGTCTCTGGTGGTCTAGTGTCCCGAACTCGGCTCTCCCACCTCAGAGGCTCCGGCCTGGTAGCCGGCCGGAGCACCAAGACCCTTTCCACCACATGGCCAGGTACGTGGGGAGTTTTTTGCCTTTTGGGAAGTCTGAGGTCTTCTGGCAGCATTCAGTAGGTGTTCTGTAGGAGTTGTTCCACATGTAGATGTACTTTTTTTTTTTTTTTCGGTATGCGGGCCTCTCACTGTTGTGGCCTCTCCCATTGCGGAGCACAGGCTCCGGACGCGCAGGCTCAGTGGCCATGGCTCACGGGCCCAGCCGCTCTGCGGCATGTGGGATCTTCCCGGACCGGGGCACGAACCCGTATCCCCTGCATCGGCAGGCAGACTCTCAACCACCGCGCCACCAGGGAAGCCCTAGATGTACTTTTGATGTATTTGTGGGGATGAAGGTGATCTCCATGTCTTACTCCTCCACCTTCTTGAAGGTACTCTCTGATCCATGTCTGAAGCTTCCAGTTCTGAAGCTTTGACAGCATTTCCTTCCCTCCATTCACAGCCACGTTTCTCTGCTAGCCTATTGTTGGCAGGAGCCATTTCCTCACAAGCTAGTGGACTGAGCAGGTCACTTCCTCACTGCTTGTTGGCTGGAAGTCTCAATCAATTCTTTGCCATTTGAGTCTTTCCATAAGGTACCTTACACGGCAGGTGGCTTCCATGTATATATGTCTCTGCAGATTCTCTCCCTGGTAGGCTGGTCTCACACCAGCGTTCGCTGCCAGTCATGGAACTTCCAGAAGCTGAGGAGGCATGCTCCGAGGTTAATTATTTTTTATTGTTGTTTGTTTTCAGCTTTAATGAGGTATAATTTTTTTAATACAAATTTATTTATTTATTTATTTTTGGTTGCCTTGGGTCTTCATTGCAGTGCACGGGCTTCTCATTGTGGTGGCTTCTCTTGTTGCAGAGCTCGGGCTCTAGGCATGTGGGCCTCAGTAATTGTGGCTCATGGGCTCTAGAGCGCAGGCTCAGTAGTTGTGGCGCACAGGCTTCGTTGCTCCACGGCATGTGGGATGTTCCCGGACCAGGGCTCGAACCCGTGTCCCCTGCATTGGCAGGTGGATTCTTAACCACTGCGCCACCAGGGAAGTCCATAAATTATTAAATAGTTATTCTGAGTCATCCAGCAGTCCCTGGTAAGTCTGGTTAGCATATTGTCCTTCCTGTGCCCGATCAACCCTTGACACAGTGATAAAACTGAGTGGCTGATTTAAAAATAACTCGTAGTGCTATTTTTAAACAAAACAATTATTTTGTTTCTTGGTTGGATCTTTCAAAGGTTTGTTCATTGATCATTTTTTTATTAAAATACCCTCCCTTGGATTTGTGAATTCTAACTTTTTTTTGTTTTCCAAGACATTTCATTCCCTGCTTGTAATATTATTTCCCTCTTCCTCTTTTCCTTGAGACATTACATAGGATGGCCACACAGGGTTTGTCTGACGCGGTGATATTTGTTGTTTGATGTTTGAGACCTAAATGAGCCAGGCATGTGAAGAATACCTGGGAGGAGGGTATTTTAGGCTGAGAGAACATAAATCACCAAGGCCCTGAGCAGGAGCAAGTTTAGGAAGAGTGAGCAGCAGAGTAGGCCAAGGGAAGAGTGGTCTGGGAGGAGGTGAGAGGGGGAGGCACCGCTAAGCCTTGAGAGCCCGGAGGCCATGGTGAGGAAATGGACTTTGTTCTAGGGGCTCAAGGTCACATCCCTAGTGAATGGAAGAGCCAGAATTCAAACACCTTGTCAGCCTCCAAAACCACATCTCTCACCTTCCTGCCAGGATGATACTGACTACACAGGCTTGTTGTGAGGGTCACCTGAGTGCACTTGGAAAGCCCCCAACCCATGCCTCGCACAACATAGACATGCGAACAGTGTGCCCTTTCTCCTGGTTTTCCTATGTAGGTTCAGTCCTGTTGTGTGGTCACTATGATTTGTCACTTTCAAGTATTCCTCTTTATTCCTAGGTATTGTTTTTGCCTCCTAGTTCACTTGAATATAAATACAACCATACCCACTTTCTTTTTTTTTTTTTTCTTTTTGCGGTACGCGGGCCTCTCACTGCTGTGGCCTCTCCTGCTGCGGAGCACAGACTCCTGACGCACAGGCTCAGCGGCCATGGCTCACGGGCCTAGCCGCTCCGCGGCATGTGGGATCTTCCCGGACCGGGGCACGAACCCACGTCCCCTGCATCGGCAGGCGGACTCTCAACCACTGCACCATCAGGGAAGCCCCATACCCACCTTCTATTGATTCTATTGACTGATATGTCTTTACTCATATTTTTAGCCTTTTGGTATCATCTTGGCCCTAGGTCCTTGGTCCTAGCCCCTGGCTTTTAATGTTACTCCAAATTTGTATCTAGCCCAGACCTTACCCTTAACCTCCAGGTTTGACTGTCCTACTGCCTACACCACTTTTCTTAGATGCCCAGGCTGCATCTCAGAGTCAATAATCAAAACTGAACTCTTGGTCTCTCCCTTCCTCTGGTCAACCTATTCTCACCGCACCTCCCCAGCATCTCCATCTCTGTAAATGCCACTGCAGTGCCTAGTTCCTGATGCCGAGTCACTCCCAGCTCTTCCTTTTCTGTCAGTCCCCATAGTCAGCCTGTCAGCAGGCCCTGTTGGTTCAGCCTTCAAAACATGATCCATATCCCCAGCTCCTTTGTCTCTGTTGCCATCTGTGTTGTCCAGTCGCCCTCACTGCTCACCTGGCCACCAGAGTGGCCTCCAAAGTGATCTCTGCTTCCCCTTTGCTCCCCTACAATCTATTTTCCACAAAACAGTTAGAAAAAAGTTTATAAAATACCAGACGATCCTTATGCTTAGAACCTGCCAGTGATTTCTTACTCTGTTTAGAATAAAATCCAAGTTCCTGACCATGATGCATAAGGCCCTGCAGCTAATCTGGCCCCTGCCTTCCTCTCCAGCCTCATGGCGGGGGTCCCGTCCCTTGGTCGGCCATACCTCAGTAACACTACCTCCTTTCTGTTCCTTGAACAGGCCACCCACCTGCCCTGCGAGACTTATGGCCTTGGACTTACAATTCCCTTTGCTTAGGGTACACACAGTTTCCTTTGCTTAGAGTACACTTTCCTCAGCTCTTCATTGTAGGCCTCTTCTCATCCTTCCTGTCTTAGTTCAGCTGTCATTTCAGAGGGCCCTGCCCCGCCCTCTTGTAGAAGTGGGATGCCCTGATCCCACCCCTTAGTCACCCTCTGTTGTATCACTTGTTTATTTCCCACAAAATGCTATCACCACGGGTAGTTAATATTTTCCTTTTGCTTATCATCTGACTCCACCCCGGGATGTAAGCTCCGTAAGGATATGTGTGGACTTTGTTCTCTTTATTTGCTACAATTTCCCCATTGCCTCATACACAGCAGTTACTTCATAACTACTTGGGTTTTGTGGCTCAGCTGAACGTGGAGCAGGGTGCACAGAAGAGGTGGCCCCAGAGTATCAACAGTGGGGATGACGTAGGCATTGATTCTGAATGAATGAACGAGTGAATGAGAGAGTAAGTGAATACTTAGGTTTAGCTCATCAAATGGTTGGATTTCTTAAATCTATTTTGAGACCCACTTAAATTTTTTCAAGTTGTGGTAAAATATATATAACATGGGGCTTCCCTGGTGGCGCAGTGGTTGAGAGTCCGCCTGCCGATGCAGGGGACACAGGTTCGTGCCCCGGTCCGGGAGGATCCCACATGCTGCGGGGCGGCTGAGCCCATGAGCCATGGCCGCTGAGCCTGTGCGTCTGGAGCCTGTGCTCCGCAATGGGAGAGGCCACAACAGTGAGAGACCTGCGTACCACACACACACAAAAAATACATAACATGAAATTTACCATCTTGATATTTTAAAAGTTGTAATTAAAAAACATGTAGCAGGGGCTTCCCTGGTGGCACAGTGGTTGAGAGTCCGCCTGCCGATGCAGGGGACACGGGTTCGTGCCCCGGTCCGGGAGGATCCCACATTCCGCGGAGCGGCTGGGCCCATGAGCCATGGCCGCTGAGCCTGCGCGTCCAGAGCCTGTGCTCCGCAACGGGAGAGGCCACAACAGTGAGAGGCCCACGTACCGCAGAAAAAAAAAAAGAAAAAAACAAACACGTATCAGGGCTTCCCTGGTGGCGCAGTGGTTTAGAATCTGACTGCCAATGCAGGGGACACAGGTTCGAGCCCTGGTGTGGGAAGGTCCCACATGCCGCAGAGCAAGTAGGCCCATGAGCCACAACTACTGAGCCTGCGCGTCTGGAGCCTGTGCTCTGCAACAAGAGAGGCCACAACAGTGAGGCCCGCGCACCGCAATGAAGAGTGGCCCCCACTGGCCGCAACTAGAGAAAGCCCTCACACAGAAAACGAAGACCCAACACAGCCAAAAATAAATTAATTAATTAATTTTAAAAAATTCCTCCGTAAAAATACCACTAAGCTTTAAAAAAATAAAAATAAAATAAATAAAAAACACGTAGCATAGGGACTTCCCTGGTGGCGCAGTGGTTAAGAATCTGCCTGCCAATGCAGGGGACACGGGTTTGAGCCCTGGTCTGGGAAGATCCCACATGCCGCGGAGCAACTAAGCCCATGCGCCACAACTACTGAGCCTGTGATCTAGAGCCCGTGAGCCACAACTACTGAAGCCCGTGTGCCACAACTACTGAAGCCCGCTCACCTAGAGTCCATGCTCGTCAACAAGAGAAGCCATTGCAGTGAGAAGCCCGTGCACCACAATGAAGAGTAGCCCCCGCCCACCGCAACTAGAGAAAGCCCGTGCGCACCAACAAAGACCCAACGCAGCCAAATATAAATAAATAAATTTATTTATTTATTTAAAAAAATATGGCAGTCTTCAAAAGTTAAAAAAAAAAACACATAGCATAAAATTTAACACCTTAACCATTTCTGAGTGTATAGTTCAGTAGTGTTAAATATATTCACATTGTTTGGTAGCCAATCTCCAGACCTCTTTCCTTCTTGCAAAACTGAAACTCTATGCCCATTAAACAACAAACAATTCCTCATTTTCTCCTCCCGCCAGCCCTTGGGAACCACCATTCTACTTTCTGTCTCTATGAATTTGAGCACTTTAGGTCTCTTATATAAGTGGACTCACAATATTTGTCCTTTGGTGACTGGCTTATTTCACTTAGCATAATGTCCTGAAGGTCCATCCGTGTTGTAACATATGTCAGCATTTCGTGCTTTTTAAGGCTGAGTAACATTCCATTGTCTGTATATACTGCATCTTGTTTATCCATTTATCTATCGATGGATACTTAAGTTGCTTCCACCTTTTGGCTATTGTGAATAATGCTGCTATGAAAGTGGGTGTACAGATATCTCTTTTTGAGACCCTGCTTTTGGTTCTTTTGGATATATACCCAGAAGTGGGATTGCTGGATCATATAGTAGTTCTATTTTTAATTTTTTGAGGAGCTGCTGTACTGTTTTCCATAGCAGCTGCATCACTTTACATTCCCACCAGCAGTGCACAAGGGTTCCAATTTCTCCATATCCTTGCCAACACATGTTATTTTCTGTTTTTGATAGTAGCCATCCTAAAGGATGTAAAGTGGTATCTTACTGTGATTTTGATTTGCATTTCCCTAATTAGTGATGTTGAGCAGCTTTTCATGTGCTTGTTGGACATTTGTGTATCTTTGGAGAAATGTCTTGGGCTCACTTTCAATAGAATAATTAAAGATTTTATGTTTTATTGTCAATATTATGCTTCGCTCGAGTTTAAAAAAATTTTTTTTATTGTGGTAAAAAACGCATAAGATTTACCACCTTAACCATTTCTAAGTGTGCAATTCAGTAGTGTTAAGTATATTCCCATCGTTGTGCCGCCAGTCTCTAGAACTTTTTCATCTTACAAAACTGAAACTCTATACTCATTAAACTCAGCTTGACTTTTAATATGTTGTTTTGTATGTTCTTTGTTTTTTCTGTTTTACTAATATGAAGTTTCTGGACCAGCAGAGCTGAGGGTACCCAAACTTGTACTGAGGCAACTCTACTGAGGTAAGCTTCATTCTGAAGTCCCATCTGGGCCAACAGCAGGTCATCTCCCTGACACTTCTGGGTCCACAGGGCTCCAGGGGCCCAGTGGGAGATGAAGACAGGCACCTATACTTCTGCCTTAAAGGATTGGCCTAGGGCACTTATGATGGGCCATCCTCACCCAAATGGTTCTATGTATGGCCATTTGGAATCACTACACAACAGTGGAAAAGCTGTTGCCACGGAGTGGTCAGCTTTGAAACCTTGGCCATTCTCATGCACTGGAACACTGGTGCAGTTTTCTGGAGGGCAGTTTGACACACTGTCAAAAGCCTGAGCCATGAGCCCCCTCTGACCAGTGGTCTACTAAGATTTTATTTTAAAGGAAAATAAAAACATCTGCAAAGATAGATACACAGGATGTTCATCACAACATTGTATATAATAGTATGAAATTGGCAGCAACCTAAATATACAGCAGTTAAAGATTTGTTAAAAAATTAAGATCCGGGACTTCCCTGTGGTCCAGTGGTTAAGACTCCGCACTCCCAATGCAGGGGGCACAGGTTTGATCCCTGGTTGGGGAACTAAGATCCTAGATGCCACATGGCACAGGCAAAAAAAAAAAAGTCAAGGTCCACCTGCATATGAAAATGAGGCTAAATGTAAATTGTGATTTTTTCCCTGGGCACTGGAATAAGGGTTGTAATTTATCTTTATTTTTTTAATCCATTAAGAAAGTTTACTCAATATATATAATTTTTAGAAAGAGAATTTGATTTATATTTTTAATTCAGTAAAAATGTATGCTAATCTGCAGGTGATAATTATGAGTGATTTCTGTGTTTTCAGAATATTTTACCAGAGGCATATATTACTTTTGTAATCAGAGCAAAAAGTAAAGGTTATTTGAAAATAAAAATAGGAGAGTTCCCTGGTGGCCTAGTGGTTAGAATTTGGGGCTTTCACTGCCATGGCCCAGGTTCAGCCCCTGGTCAGGGAACTGATATCCCGCCAGCTGCGTGGCACGGCCAAATAAATAAATAAATAATAAAAATAAAATCTTTGGAAATGGGATAGCATCATGTATTTTTCACCTTATGATTGTTTCAGGTCAGCCCCATGGCTATTCCACATGGTTCAAATGAAACTTCCTATTTGCTACCTCCAAACAGTGAGGACTGGGGAGGGCACGGCATTCCTGACTTTGTCTATGGGCAGAAGGAACTCGTGCCAGAAGGGATTCAGTGGCCAAGGAGCGGACCCAGCCTTCTGGACACACTGCCACTGTCTCGCTTTGACTCTGCCCTCTGCTTGGCCTGGAGGCAGCGGATGGAGCTGGGGCTGTTCCGCTACTGTCTGGGGGAGCTGCAGACCCAAACCCTTCCTGGTGCCGTGGGTTTTGTTGCTCAGCTGAATGTGGAGCGAGGTGTGCAAAGAAGGAGCCCCCAGAACATCAGGAGCGTGAGGCAGGCGTTTGACCCTGAACAGTTTAACTTCAACCAGATCCGGCCAGGAGAAGTCCTCTTCCGCTTGCACCGGGAGGCCGATCTCCCCAGTGCTCTCCAGCAAGACGACATCCTCGTGGTGATCAATGTCAGCCCCTTGGAGTGGGGCCACGTGCTGCTGGTGCCCGAGCCCACCCGAGGGCTCCCCCAGCGCCTGCTGCCAGGGGCACTGCAGGCCGGGGTTGAAGCTGTGCTGCTGAGCTCACACCCAGGCTTCCGAGTCGGCTTCAACAGCCTGGGTGGCCTGGCCTCAGTGAACCACCTCCACCTGCATGGCTATTACTTGGCCCACAGACTGCCCGTGGAGGGGGCCCCAAGCAAACCCCTGGATCCTGGGGGCCGTCTGCATCTGCTCCAGGACCTCCCAGCTCCTGGCTTCCTCTTTCACACAAGCGGGCCAGGGCCCGACTTTGAAGCCTTGATAAGCAGGGTATGTCGGGCCACTGACTATCTGGCTGACCACGAGATTGCACATAACTTGTTTGTGACCCGGGGGGCTCCACCTGGAAAGACATCATCTTCCTCAGCCCTCACGGGGGTCCGAGTAATTCTTTGGGCCCGGAAGTCCAGCTTTGGGATAAAGGAAGGCGAGGCCTTCAATGTTGCCCTCTGTGAGCTGGCCGGGCACCTCCCTGTCAAAACGTCCCAGGACTTCAGCAGCCTGACAGAGGCGGCGGCTCTGGCCATCATCCGAGACTGTCTGCTGCCCCCAGCCCAGGCGGGAGAGGTGCAGGCAGCACTGGTGGCCTTGATAGCCAAGGAGGAGCAGTAATCCTTCCAGAAGTATTTATTTTGTAACCGATCTAAGTCTCTTTCCGGAAAGCTGTTCATCATGATCATGTGGGCACTTTCATGAATGCCTTCTCACCTGTCGCAGCCTAAGGGGAGGGATAAAGAATTGGTAAGTGGTCTCTTTAAGGAGGAGGATACCTTGGAATAAATCGAATGAATGAGCCCTCATGGATGTATCTGCTGCTTTTCACCTTTCTTCTTAGATAAGCCCCAGGGATGTCAAGCCTATTGTTAAGAAGGGAGTGTATGCAAGAGTTAACACACTCCTGACTCCTATATGCCAACTTTTCTCTTCCTTTCTTATCAAATCTTAGCAAAGTGATAGTTTATCACTTCCTCTGTTCTTGCCTCTCTGCCTGTTCTCCCTTTGCCCACCACTGAGTTGTATTTCTTCATCCTGCCCCTACATATGTCCCCTCCATCCATATGCCCTATTTATAGCACATTCTTCGCCTACCTGGCCACCTTGAATTTTCCTTCAGCCCCAAAGCTGAGTTGAGTGTTCTTCACATACATCATTTCATGTGAAAACAAGGTGTCCTCACAACTTGAAAGTTGCAGGTCCTCTTAATACCCCCATTTAACAGACGAAGATATGGAGGCTGACAGAGGTTTAGTAATTTGTCCAAGGTCAGATGGCTCAAAAGTAGTGGAGTCAGGACTGCAACGCAGGCAATCAGACACCTGAAGCTGAGCTGGGGCTGTGCCTGTGTGACTGCCATGTTAATAAAGTCTCATTGAGATGAAGCAGAATATGCATCACAACCCATTTCATAAGAAAATCAGTTTGACATTTAAATTCCTATAAACAGTTTTTGGTCACCCTCATGTTTTGGGCACATTGCAGTAATTTCAGCTTAATGCCTCTTTGTGCAAGCCTTTGCAAATATGGGCTCCAATAACATCACTTTATTTTGCTCGCTCACTCTCTGAAGGGAGTGCAGATGACCATTAGAGTAAAGTGGACTTTGTGTGTCGAAGGTGATGAGTCCAAATACCAGGATTTCCCCAGTTTTTCCTTAGGATTAATGTTCAGAGGAAAGCCTTCTCTGGCCCCAAATAAGTTTTTCCACAAAAAGTAAAAGTCAAATAGGTTTTCTTTGTGGTGGTACTTCTTAGCCATGAATACTTTGTGAATCGTCCAGAAGGGGATTTATGGAAGCTTTTTCTGAGCTTGAATATGGAACACTTAGGAGACCCTTTGTATCCAGAGCCCTGGGCTTTGAGCACAGTAGGTAAGTAAGAAGGGACAATCCAGCTCAGGGCCTCTCCACCGCTTTGCTTGCTTTTTGTTTGTTTTATTTTTTGATGGAAGGTCTTTTGTACTAAGGGGTTTTGGACTTGATCTAATGGGAAACCTTGAAGAGTTTTAAATTGGGGAGTAACAAATATGCATTTTAGGGCGAATACTTAAGCTGCAGTGGATGGATGGATGGATGAAGGAAGGAAGGAAAAATAGAATAAGGGAATCCAATTAAGAGGCTGCTTAATGGTGGCAATTCAGGCAAGAAATGATGGTTCAGGTACTAGAACAGTGCCTGGAACGTTAAATATCTGTTAAATATGTGCCTGGAACGTTAAATATTTCCATTGGTGCAGAAGCCCCATGGCCAGGGGCTTCTGCACCAATGGAAATATTCTCCTCTTGGGTCTCTGGAGCTTCTGTTATCTGAAGGAAGTGTTTGCTGGCCACATCCTATCTCAATATATGCTGCTTGCCTGGAAGCAAGCTCAGCTGGTCCCTCCAGGGCACGTGAACCTATCTTAGGGGGAAGACTGGGAGCTTCAGAGCCAACAGTAGAGCCAGCTGAATGATCCAGCCTTCTAAGCAGCTTAGCCTAGCGCTCCACATCCATTAAGAGTCAGTGTGGGGTGAGAAGTGGAGTCAGAAAGAGTGAGAAAATTGTGCGTCCTGAAAGGCAAGGGACTCCAAAGCATTTCAAGGAGGGGGTAATAGAGTATCATACACTGAAGGGAGGTCAAGAAATCTATGAATCGGAAAATGTACATGTCTTTTTAGAGGAGCGAAATTTTTTAAGTGTCCTTTAGATTTAAGCACATGGGATAATCTTAAAGTGACAAATTGGGCGGAGTTTGGTGGAGGTGGCAATCAGAGGTAAAGCGGTTGGACATCAGGAAAAGATGGCGAGAGTAAAGGAGCAGTCTGATGAGCACCTCCAGGGCACGTGTGATAATCACGGCCGTCCCTCCCAAGTGCTGGGACTGCTCGAGACATGGTTACTAATGGTTACTAATTACTTGGATAATTGGGGCTTCTCGTCCCGAACACTGCGTTGGCCAAATTCCGGGAGCTTGGCCCGCGGATTCAGGAAAGGGTCAGGAAAGGGGGTGGGGCTCGTGCGAACTGGCGTGAAAGCGGAAGGACTAGAAGTCCTATCACGCATCGGGTCAGTTGCCGCAAGAGTCCGCCCTCCAGTGCCAGGCGCTCGATTGCGCTTCCTACGGCAGCCCAGGGGCAAACGTCTCAGGCACCCGCCCGATATGGCCTCTGCTGGCGCCAAAGTGGGTGTGGTTCTCGGAAAGGCCCCGCCCCCAGAACGCTTCTCCAATGGGGGCCGCCCTCGTGTCCATGGCGACGGCGGCGGCGGCAGCCTGCTTGCTTAAGGCGGCGCAGCCGGGATCTCCAAGATAGGTGTGAACCCCGGGTGCAGGGGGGAGCGGGCCCCCCTCGCGATCGCCGGGGATAGCCATTCCCGTGGAACAAGGAGGCGGTCCCGGAGGCCCAGCAACGCCCGGGAAGGAGCGAGAGCCGGCCGAAGGGCGGTCGTGAGCGACCAGCTGAGTCCAGCACCAGGCCGATAGGGGCGGACCCGGCAGCCCCTCCGCTCTCGGAACCTGCGGTGGGCATTGTCCGCCGGGGGCTTCCCCTCCGCTGTCAGAGCCCAGGGGGTCTTGGCCATTGGGTGCCTGGCCCCAGTGTGTCTGTATGGAGAAACTGAATCATGGGACAGGGAAAAGGCTGGCCTAGGCGACCTTTGGTCTTCAGCTCTATTTTTCAAAGTGAAGGCCCCCCCAGCACCTCCAGCTATCCCCCATTACATTCAAGAACAAAAAAGCTATGGTCATGGTCCCTGCCAGCTCAGTTCAGCTCCTGCATGCACCCCAGAGTATTGTATGGAGTGATCTTGGATAATTGGGGCTTGTCAGCGAATCTAACATCTCATAGGCATTCCACGGACCCCATTACCTATTTGGAAACATCCCATGCTGTAGTGGGACTGCTCTGTTCTGAAGGAGCAGCAACATTCCCTTATAACACCATGAAGGTCCTTGGGTGGATTCCTGCCGTCCTTCCTGGGCCTGGAGGGAGGTCATATACATTTCACTCCCACCCCTCTCTCCTCAGAATCTAAGAGGATGGAGCCAAGTACCTGTAAGACCAGCGAATCAGAGGAAAACTATGGTGAAGAAGAGGAATCCGAGGAGTGTGTTAAAGGGGAAACTACCATCCCTTCTAACCCTTCTCAGCAGGCACTCTCAAAGGCTGACTAATGCATTTAGGAATGGAGTTCCTTTATCCATTGTAGCCAAGAAAATACCAAAGAAAATCATAACCCCAGCTGACCCAGATGAATTAGAAGTTGGGAGGAGAAAGAGAAGGTGGAAACACAGGTAACCGTTCCCTGGACCCCCTCACTTGCCCAGCTCCAGAGAGTAACCCTCTGCCCTTCAGCAGTCGGGCTGGGATCCAAAGTCTTCCCTTTAGCCTAGGAAAGAGAACAGGAAATACAGGAGGTCATTAGCCTTTTTGTACAACAAAAACAAAATTCAGAATCACTTTGGCTGGCTTAGTTTAGAATTTCAGCACGTTTATATCATCCTGGTCTTTCCTTTAAGTGGCTTCTAAAGAAAATGAATTGCACTGTTAATCTGTTGGGTGTCTCTTCTTCTGGATGCCTGCCAGCCCAGGGTCCTTCTCTCCTTCTGCCTGATTTCTGCTATTCCTCCATTCCAGACCCCTGGCCATCAATCTGACCAACTGCAAGTATGAGAGTGGTAAGCACCCAGCTCGTCACTCACACCACTGGGCATGAGAGGACATTTAGGGCTGCGGCTTTCACTCTGGAGGTGGTCCCCTCAATCTGCTCCCAGCCCCTGGATCTTGTTAGGCTGGCCTATAACCTGTACTGAGCCTCCTGGCTCAGCTACCAGTAGCTGACACATCACTGTTCCAGTTAGTCTCAGCAGTAGAGTAGGAATCTCCAGTTAGCTAACAAGAGAAAAAATGACAAAAATCACCATCCCTCCCCCGACCCTGCCCCAGATTTTACCAGAGATGAGATGAGACCAGGTTAAAACTGTTTTTTCAAGGTAACTTTTGAGGTGGCTTCAGCAATTAAGAAAAAAGAAAAATCGCCAGCTAGGTTAGTCATTTCTTCCTCCCCTCATCCCCACTGGCATCTACGGGTGCCCCAAAGTGTGAGGCGCCAGTGTGACCCCTTCCGAGGGTCAGCTCTGCAGGCCAGAAACCATCCTAATTGAGAGGACTGACAGGAACAGAGATCCAGTCTATAGTTTTCTGTCAAATTTTGGAAGGACCCTGACAGCCTCATGAACTTGGAATTGTCGCAATGGTAACTAAACTGAGGTAAGCAGAGCTGAGGTAGGAACTACCTCCTTCTTCATTCCCACTCTCTGGTCAGGTCTGTTCCTTACCCAACCCAGCTGCAGTCCCAAGGTTTGCTGCCAGTGCCCAGGCTGGCTCCACTGACCTCCCTCTCTCCACAGTGCGTCGGGCAGCCCAAATGTGTGGCCTGAAGGAGGTGGGGGAGGACAAAGAGTGGACTGTGTACTGGACAGACTGCTCTGTCTCACTGGAACGCATCATGGACATGAAGAGGTTTCAGGTACAACCTCCAGACCCAAGATCCTAAAGGAACTATGCCCCAGAATGACTACTCCTACCCTTGCACCCAGGCACCCGAGGCTGCCACTCTTGGTGGCTATACCCCTATGCAGAGCAGGAAAGGCCATGGCCAGGGGCTTCTGCACCAATGGGAATATTCTCCTCTTGGGTCTCTGGAGCTTCTATTATCTGAAGGAAGTGTCTGCTGGCCACATCCTATCTCCATATATGCTGCTTGCCTGGAAGCAAGCTCAGCTGGTCCCTCCAGGGCAGGTGAGCCTATCTTAGGGGGAAGACTGGGAGCTTCAGAGTTAACAGTAGAGCCAGCTGAATGATCCAGCCTTCTAAGCAGCTTAGCCTAGCACTCCACATCCATTAAGAGTCAGTGTGGGGTCCTGCATGGCAGCAAGAAAGTCAGGAAAGATAGACCAGGGTCCACAAGAAGATATTATTTCTTTTTCTTTTCTAAATTAATTTATTAATTTATTTTTGGCTGCACTGGGTCTCTGTTTCTTTGCCCCTTGGAGGGAGGGGGGCTGGGGGGACTACTTTACATTGCGGTTGCGTGGGCTTCTCATTGCGGTGGCTTCTCTTGCAGCAGAGCATGGGCTCTAGAGCGCAGGCTCAGTAGTTGTGGCGCACGGGCTTAGTTGCTCCGCCACATGTGGGATCTTCCCCGACCAGGGCTTGAACCCGTGTCCCCTGCACTGGCAGGCGGATTCTTAACCACTGCGCCACCAGGGAAGCCCCAGATATTACTTCTTCATGGTATTTTTGTTATCCTCTAATTGGGTCTTTGTGGCGGTTAGCAAACAAAAGTGTCTGTAGGCTTATTTTGAGAGAAGGCAAGCAGGGAGCTGAGACTATCACCTATCCCATGAATTATGGGAGAAGAGGGAGAGCAGGAGTGAGAGCGAGAGTGAGAGACTGCTAGAAGCGCTCAAAAAGCCCCTAAGAAGGGGCATGCAGAGAGCAGTTGTGAGATGAGGGTAACGATAACAGCATTTACTGAGGTCGGACACTGTTAAGTGCTTTTACATTCTCACCTCATTAAATCCTTAAAAAGATACCCTTATGTGTTTTTTTGTTTTGTTTTGTTTTCTTGGCTTCGGCCACAGCTTGTGGGATCTTAGTTGCCCGACCAGGGATCGAACCCGTGCCCCCTGCAGTGAAAGCACCAAGTCCTAACCACTGGACCGCCAGGCAATTCCCAAAAGATACCCTTATATTAAGGACACTGAGGCTCAGAAATACTCAGTTCACACAGCTCATGGGGGGGAAAAGCAGAGAGCACTGAACCTTCCAGCCCTGAGGGCCAGAGCAGCGGGGCGGGGGCTTCCAGCAGGCCACCCTGGCAATGCCTTGCCCTCTGAGAGTGCCACTGCTGTGCATTCCCTGGGGCTGCTCCTTAGTTTCCTTTCTCTTTGGGGAAATGTTTTCTCATTTGCTTTGTGTTATTCCGCACCAGTTATTCCTATAGGGCTAGTCCCCGGTAGTCTGAGGGATGTTATAAGGTGGCTAGAAGGCCCAAAGTCCTGGCTAGCCCTTCTCACCGACCCTCATTTGCTAACCTTGCTGTGTATGTGTGTTTTGCGGAGAGGCCAAGCAGCAGTTTCCCACCTGCCTTAGGGAGCCTTCCTTTTCTCCCTTGGGGACTAGGTGCAGTGTTTACCTCCACTGTGACTTCTCCCTTGACCTCCCCAGTCCTTTTCCACTGCTATCTGGAATGTTCAGGCCCCAGGAACTGCCCCTTACTCTGGGCGATAGTATAACCAACTGGCTCTGTTTCAGAAAGTCAACCACTTCCCTGGCATGACAGAAATCTGCCACAAAGATCTGCTGGCTCAGAACCTCAGCCGCATGCAGAAACTCTATCCTACTGAGTGTAACATCTTCCCGTGCATCTGGTGCCTCCCTGCAGAGTGAGTGAGCCTGGCTCCCCAGGTTGAGATTCTGGGGGAGGAAAGGGTTCGCCATCTCAGTTCCCACCAGACTCTGGCTCTGGGACCTAGAATGTCTCAGGGGGATGGAAGTAAAAGGGAAGTTTTAACTGAAAAGAGAAGGTTAGGGCTTCCCTGGTGGCGCAGTGGTTGAGAGTCCGCCTACCGATGCAGGGGACACGGCTTCGTGCCCCGGTCCGGGAAGATCCCAAATGCCGCAGAGCAGCTGGGCCCGTGAGCCATGGCCGCTGAGCCTGCGCGTCTGGAGCCTGTGCGTCCAGAGCCTGTGCTCCGCAAAGGGAGAGGCCACAACAGTGAGAGGCCCGCGTACCGCAAAAAAAAAACAACAGTAACTACCTTATATGGTTACTGTGAAAAAAAAATTTTTTTTGGTTACTGTGAAAATTAAATGAGTTATTATGTATTTGAAGTGCTTACAACAATTTATGGTACATAGTAAGTACTTCAAAAGTACAGTCGGCCCTCCCTCCATATCTGCAGATGTGGAACCCGTGGATATGGAGGGCTGACACCATTTTATACAATGGACTTGAGCATCTGTGGAGTTTGGTATCCATGGGGGGTGGGGGTCCTGGATCCAATCTCCTGCAGATACTGAGTGAACACTGTATTATTACTTTTCCCTGGTGGGTTTGCATGCTCTCAGCCCTTCCTCATTGATGGCTTCAAGTTTGACATGCGAATGTATGTCCTGATCACATCCTGTGAGCCTCTTCGGATCTCCATGTATGAGGAGGGCCTGGCCGCCTTTACCACCATGCCCTACGTGGAGCCCAGCCACAGCAACCTGATAAGAGGCCAGCTGGGGAACTTACCTGGCAGTCCAGTGTTTAAGACTTCACCTTCCAATGCAGGGGGTATGGATTCGATCCCTGGTTGGGGAGCTAAGATCCCACATGCCTCCTGGCCAGAAAACCAAAATATAAAACAGAAGCAATATTGTAACAAATTCAATAGAGACTTTAAAAGATGGTCCACATAAAAAAAAAATTCTTTAGAAAAAAAAAACCTTAAAAAAAAAAAAAAAAAAAAAGGCCAGCCAGCAGCACTAGGGTGCAGGGCAGCACCCTCTTCTCTTCCACTGACACGAGTGCTGAGGTTCTGTGGAGAAACCAGGTAGAGGGGCTTGTCACACAGCTAGCTCGTCACACATGAACAAGGAGTGAAGCCTGGAGCACCTTGGCACTTGGCTGGAAGGACAGCATTTAGGGGGTGCTGACTGCAGAAAAGCCATGCCTGCAGGAAGGGCACACCCCTTCCCCAGGAGCTTACAGGACAGTCCTCTGTGAAGAGGGACAGGAGATGAGCCATCCAGGGGTGGGGTAGGTAATCAGAAGGCAACGAATGGCTGGAGAGAAGAACTGCATGGAAGTAGCCTGATCACAGGGCCACTCTCTTCCCAGGATGATATCTGCATGCACCTGACCAACTATGCCGTCAACAGACACAATGAGAATTTTGTCCGGGATGATGCTGTGGGCAGTAAGAGGTATGCCCTACTCTGTTTTCTCCTCTTTTTCTGCCCTTTAGCCCCACAGTCTCAGCAGAGCTGAGTTGGCCCTTGGGAGGTTGAGCTGGCTCAACCCTTATAGACCCCTGTCTTGTGCCTGACCACCAAGTGCAGTCCCAAACCCCACCCTATAATTAAACCCTGCTCCAAGCTGGCGGCAACCCCTCAAAGCACAAGGAACCTAGGCATGGAATTAGGATTAGTGTTAGGGAGCTTCCTGTCTGCAGCCTGGCCCCACTGATCTTCCTCTGAGCACTGGGCCTCACAGGAAGCTGTCAACACTCAACGCCTGGCTATGAGAGCACAGCTACGACCCCCGAGAGCTGTGGGGAGATATTGAGGACATCATCATCAAAGCCATCATCTCAGCACATTCTGTTCTTTGCCACAGCTACCGAACCTGTTTTCCCCAGTATCTGAGTGGAGGTACATGTGCCTGTTTTGAGATCCTTGGTTTTGACATCTTGCTGGACCACAAGCGGAAGCCCTGGCTGCTGGAGGTGAGGATTATCTCCTGGGCTTTGCAAAACCATGGTCCACCCCTGAACAGGACACCTGGGATAGGAGTGTACTCAAGTGGTGGAACACAGAATGGGGGATGCAGAGGCACTGGGGTAGATAGGATCTAGCAGAAGGTGTAAGACATTTGCACTTTTGACCTGCTAAATCCAGTCTTGGTGGTCTCTGGTCTCCACCGTAGGAACTCAGGTTTTGGATCCCAAAAGTTCCTCATGTAAGCCTTGCCTTTAAGGACACTATCGCTATAGAGTCAGGCTGTCTGATTTGCTCTCACCAGCCTATACACTGGAGGGATCTCTGTGGCAGAGTCCTGTGGTCTTGGAAGTCAGAACATCCAGCTTCCTTGGCTGAGGCCACAAAGGGGGGGCACTGGAGGCGGATGTCTCTCCTAGAACCTCCAGCTGGGCCTGCAAGAATCATGACCTGCTCAGGTGGTCTAGGAAGGGGATGGATAATGACTCCTCCCGGCAGGTAAACCACTCTCCAAGCTTCACCACCGACTCACAACTTGATCGAGAAGTGAAGGATGCACTTCTCTGTGATACCATGACCCTTGTCAACCTCCAGGGCTGTGACAAAAGAAAGGTGACAGAAGAGGATAAGTGGCGAGTCAAGGAGCGGCTTTTCCAGTGCCACCAACAGCCAAGAGAAGCCAGGGGCCTCAGGTGTTTGACGTGTGTTTAGTTGTGTAGCTTACCTTATTACTTTCCTGAGAGTAAAAGTCCTTCTCTAGATGGAGAAGGCAGTCTGGGGTTGATTAGCTATTAAAAACATTTTTTTTTGCATCGATAATACACCACATATCATAGATAAGTGATGCATTATCTATGCAAATTCCAAAGACACAGTGAATAGTCTCTCTCCTACCCTCCTCCTCCAGCTACTCAGTTTTCCTCCCTGGAGCCAATCAATGTTCCCTGGGTCATGTGTATACTTTCACAAACATTTAATGCACATATATACATGTATTTATATAAATTGTTTTCTCCCTTTACCCAGACAATAGCATAACTTTCACACTGTCTGTATCCTACTTACCAATGCATTTTACAGCTATTTATGCATTTTATAGCTATTTCCTATTAGCATGTAAGGAACTTTATGGGGTTTGTTCTTTTTTTTTTTTTTTTATTTTCAACAAAGCTCCTCTAGAAACCATTACCTAAGAAGGCTTATAATTATGAAACAGAGAAAACAGTTTAGTCATTCAATAATAGGTTATTGTTTAAATCAGTATTGTTTACCCACTGTTGTTTTAATTGTAAGATGGGTTACAAACATGGTAATGTGTTGCTGATACTCAATTATAATTTGTTAATAATAAAAATGACTTGAGTAGAGTGAGTATTATTCCTGTAATAGTATCACTCTTCACCACTTGCATTGTGATATGCAGGCCAGTGTGTATCTGATTTGCCATGATATCCTGAGGACCTGGCACACAGTAGGCACTCAAATGTCTGTGTGAATGAAGGTGAAGTATAACTGTAAATACCCTAGGTATTCCCATGAGACTGGACTGTGCACATGTCTTTCAATGAGGAAAAAAGGTTGAAAACTACTGGACTTAAAAAACAACAGTACAATCATAGAATCAGAATACTAGGCAGCCATTTAAAAATGTTATATGATCCCATTTTCATCTAAAACAAAGAAGGAAGGAAAGGAAGGAATAAAGAAAGAACAAGGTAATGAGTGGCAAAGCCAGCGTTCAAACTCAGTAAGTCCTGCCCTAGAGTCCATGCTCATAGCCAATATGCTTATTTCACAGTAAGATTAGAGGTTTTTATCTTCTTTTTGCTCTTCTAAATTTTCTGTAATTAACAGATACTACTCTATAATCAGAAACCTAAAAGACTATGATAACTTGGAGTGCTAGTTTACAAGTGTACACCATTGCACTTAAGATGAAAACCAGAAGCCTGCTCTGTAATTACAACGGGTGAGGGCGGGTGGCAAAGCAGTTCAAGCCCAGAAGTCACGCCCTCAGACGGAAGCGGAAAAAACGCACCAGCCCCTCAGCTTCCCGCCCAATTCCGGTCCCGCCCCCTGGCTTCAGGAGCTACCCTGTGGCGGGGGTGGTGGAGGGCTTTTTCTCGTCGACATGGCGGTTTCTCTGAACTGCTTGCTAGGCGGGGGTGTCCGTGCCGCGGTCGCTCGCTGTGGGTTTGCTACCCGGGGCGTGGCGATCCCGGGATCTGTCGGCCGTGAGCCGGACCCCGATTCCGACTGGGAGCCGGAGGAGCGGGAGCTGCAGGAGGTGGAGAGGTACCGGCTCCTTCCCGGGCCCTCAGCCTGAAGCAGGGCCTCGGGCCTGGGCGCCCCAGGCCGCGCCCCCTTGGCGCCGGGCGTCCTGCGGCGGTACTTATTTCTCACCCGTTGTCAGGGGCACAGGGGCAGCTGTTAGCTCCTTTGGGACCACGAGTCCCTTCACCAAGGACGTATTTCATCACCCGTTTAAAGAATTCGGCAACAGCTTATGGGCTGTTGTTGTTCTTGGTGTTAGATTTCTGGGGCGGTGTTCAGAGCAGGTCTAGGCTGACAGACATGGCCAGGTTGTCCTTGCAAAGAGAAGCGGGCTGGGCGCTCTGACTTAGCCCAGGGCTCTCAAACCACCCATCTGGCTTCCACGCATGGCTTCTGCCATTGGTTCTCTCTCCCAGCGCCCTGAAACGACAGAGAAAAGCTATCCGGTTCCAGAAAATTCGGAAGCAAATGGAGGCGCCAGGTTCCCCGCCCAGGACCCTGACGTGGGAAGCCATGGAGCAGATCCGGTAAGACTGTTGGCAGTTAGGATCTGCTGTGATGAGAAGTGAAGGATACTGGGGCTTAGAACTTAGAACGTTGTTTTTGTATTTTTTGCTTTTTATCTTCCAAGATTTCTAACAGAAAAGTCAAGTAATAAGATAAACGTCGATGAGCTCGCCATCTAGATGTAATAGTTTTTAACGTTATGACACGGTTCGTTTTTTGCCGAAATTTTAAAATAGTAAGTTACAGGCGTCGCAACATTTAACCCGTATATAGTAAGTAGATCATGACGTTCTTGATCTAGGACCAGGGATGGAGCTTCCATGGTTACGTTGCTCTGAAGAGAGGAACCGTATCTTAGAAAAGAGATCCTTTTTTAAATTTTAAGGTTTTTGTTTTGAATAGATAATACATATGGCTCAAAATGAGAACAGTATAACAGGGCATACGCATTGAGAGGTGTTAATCCCCCCTAGTCTCCTATGGATACTATTTTTAATAGGTTTTTGGGTCATTTTCTAGGTTTCTTTATGCAAATAGAAGCAAGCACGTATGAATACAGAATTTTTTTTTCACTTCTATAATCACAAACAGTAGAATACTAGAAATGCTGTTCTGTACTTTGCTTTGTTCGCTTAATATATTCTGAAGCTCTTTTCACTTCCCAAGAGAGAGCTCCTCATTCTTTTCTGTAGATGCTTAGTAAACTGTAGTTTATTTTACCAGTCTTTTATGCTGGGCACTTGAATTGTTTCCACTCACTTGCTGTAACAAATAGTGCTCCAGTGCATAACTTTGTATACTCTAAATATCTGCCAGAAATATTTACACTTACATAAATGTATGTGTTACATACCTTCCTAGAAGTAGGGTTGCTACTGAACCGAAGGGCAAATGGACTTGCATTTTGATAAATATTGCTAAATAGTCCTTTGTAGGTCATGTTCCTTTTTCCATTCCCATCAGAATAACTCTGGAATTGAGACTTAGAATAAAGGGGGTTTTATAGAGCTGATCAAGATTTTATGAGCCTGTAGCAGCTTTCTCCTGTCAGCTTCCTCTCCTATCTTGAACACCAGCCTTTTCAACCCTTCCATCTTCCCACCTGTCACCTCCCCTTTTGTGATCAATAAATATCCTTCTATTTCAGAGAAAAAACAGGCTATTAGGTAAGAACTGTTTAAAGCTTCTTGGTCTCCTCCTTACCTTCCACTCTCAATCTTGTACTCTGTTCACACCTCTGGGGAAGTGGTAGTCCTTCACTTGTCTAGGACCAGTCCTCTGGGTGCTCTAGGTCAAATCCCTACCTAATTTCTCAGGGACCTACACCTGTCAACTTAAGGTTGTCCATGTTGTGTGCCGATCTCAGTCTGTCAATAACCAGTGTTGTGGCTGAGCCAGCCCTTGTGGTTCTTAAGACTGCAAGATGCCCTTCAGCAATAACCATCAGAAAACTGCCGGGTGGGGGGGGGGGGGGGGAGGGTTATTATTTACAGGACCTGGAAATTATATGGCACACCTGAGGCCACACAGCAAGGTCATGGGTAGAGAGAGGTGCAAGGGCCTGGGGTTCTTTTATTGGGGTTGAGGGTGGGGGCCTAGGGTTTTGAGGGCTCACTCTTTATTGGTGAATTTAACAGGAATTTAAAAATTTTTTTAAAATTTCATTTTAAATTATTTATTTATTTTGGCTGTGCCAGGTCTTTGTTGCGGCATGCGGGATCTTTAGTTGCAGCATGCAGGGTCTTTTTTTTTTAAGTTGCGGCACACGGGATCTTTAGTTGCCTCATGCAAACTCTTAGTTGCAGCATGTGGGATCTAGTTCCTGACCAGGGATCAAACCCGGGCCCCCTGCATTGGGAGCATGGAGTCTTAGCCACTGGACCACCAGGGAAGTTCCTTAAGAGGAATTTAAAGCGCAAGAAGAAAAAAAGCAAGTGGCCCAAGTGGTTAGTTATTGAAGCCAACCATAATCTCTAAAACAAACGCGCCTCAATGGAGGGGTGGGGGGAAGCCTGGCTTTTTATCTAGTTGTGTGGCTGGCAGTGTGTTTATTGGAGATAGCCATCTTCGAAGTGCATACCTTGGCAAGCAAAGCTTAAGTCAGTCACTTGGGTTACAAAGAAAAGGAAACCCAACTGTCAAGGCTATACTACACTCCCTCCTCCTTTAGTTCCCTGCTGGCTCCCTGGCTCCCTACCCTCATTTTTGTTTGTTTCATCACAACAATGAAACTATTATCCACAAATCTACCAGTGACTTCCTCAGTGCTAGGCATAACTGACACTCAAGGCTTTAGTGTGACTAACATTTCTGCAGCATTTGACCTTGTCTGCATTCTTGAAATTCTCCCTTGACCCAGGCTACCACTCACTTCTATTTCTAGGACTGGTTTCGGTTTCCTCTGTGGGCTCCCCGTCTTCCTCCTGTATCTTAATTATTGTAGTTTTTAGAGTTGTGTCCTTGGTCATTTATCTCACTCTGAATATTTCCCTGCCTAATGCCAGCCACTTGCATGGCTTCAGCCACTCCTGCTATTGGCTTATGACTTCCAGATCTATCATGTCCAGTCCATGTTTTTCTTCTGAACCCTATATAGTCAGCTGTGCACTAGATATCGCTGTTTGGCTGTCACACAGGTTCCTTAAACTCAACATGTACAAAATAGAATTCATCATTATTCCCTGACAATTTCATTCTGCTCCTATTTTTGCTATAACCCCGAATGGTTCCATCAATCACCCACTCTAAAGATACTGAATCTTGGGACTTCCCTGGTGGCACAGTGGTTGGGAGTCCACCTGCCAATGCAGGGGACGCAGGTTCAAGCCCTGGTCCAGGAGGATCCCACATGCCGCAGAGCAACAAAGCCTGTGTGCCACAAATGTCGAGCCTGCGCTCTAGAGCCTGTGAGCCACAACTGCTGAGCCCGCATGCCACAGCTACTGAAGCTCCACGTTCCTGGAGCCTGTGCTCTGCAACAAGAGGGGCCACCACAATGAGAGGCCCGCGCACTGCAATAAGGAGTGGCCTCGCTCGCCGCAACTAAAGAAAGCCTGTGCAGCAACAAAGACCCAGCACAGCCAAAAATAAATAAATAAATAAATTAACTAAAAAAAAAAAAAAAGATGCTGAATCTCAGCCTATTTATTCGCCCAGTATTTAGTTCCTTACCAAGTGTAACCACTTGGCCTTCCTAAAATATTCCTCAAGTCTCTTTCCTCCTCTGCTCTCATTGCCACTGTCTCGGTTCAGACTGCCTGGATTACTGTGACAGCCTCTTGCCTGATCTTTCCATCTCTAGTCTTGCACTGAGAAACTACTGTTACTGAACTAGATTCATTTGTCTGATGTACAGCAAGCCATTGCTGAGACCCTGAGGTTTGCAGCAGAGAAAGGGTTTATTCATAGGCAGCCAAGCAAGGAGATGGGAGAACAAGTGTCAAATCTGCCTCCTTGAAGAAAGAGTTTTAGGATATTTATGGGGTAAAGAAGCAGGGTGGTCTGAGGCTTTGGGAAAGGTGATTAAATGTTAGAAAAAGGTGAAGTAATTGGTGCTCTGAGTTACCTGGTTCTTCATGGGATGCATGTTCAGAAAATGGTGGGCAGCATTAGCATGATCTGAGGATGGAGTTTTTGGCCCTTGACATTGAAAGGTCACCCATTGGACACTTGTACAGGCCCAGCTGAATGGTCAGTGGTCTCAACTAGTTTGAACTGGGCAAAACTAGCCCCATGTTCCTGAACAACAACTTAAGCAACTGTTACCAGAGTGACCCATGGTCAGAGGTTTTATCTATAGGGGGCAGTTAAAGGAGTCTTGTGATACATTGTCTAGGCTATGTGAAGCTTGGAGGCTATGCAGTTTGCCTGAACAATTAAAGCAAGCTTGGTCAGTAAAGGCAGGTTACAGGTTATTATTCATTAAGCAGGTTATAGTTCAGGGAATCTAATTGACGACTGCCCTCTTTCACTACCACTGGATTGAGCTTCAAACTGAAAATTTGCTCATGGCATTCTGCTCCTTAAACGCCGTCCTTGGTTCACTGTTGCGTTGGAATGGGCTCCGGAATCCCTGAGCGTGACATGACCCTGCTCCTGCCGCCCCGTCACACAGACTGAGCTGTTACCAGCAAAGGTGATGTGCTTCTTCGTGTTCCACCTGCTGCTCACTCTACCATCAGTACCTTTGACCTTTTCTTCCTCTCCTCCCCTCTGCCAGCTTATGACAACTTCTCATCTTTTCAGACCAGCTCTAGCATGGACTTCCTGAAGCCATTCCTGGGCCACCCCGCAAATGTGGTGATAGCCTGTCCCTGCCTCTCCCTCCTCGGTGCTCTCACAGCATCCTCTGCTGGGATATTTCTCATAGTGTTTTTGTATGTTACTGTATCTGTCTCCACCACCAGACTGTATGTTCTTTGAAGGGAAAGACAGTCATCATGCATCCCCAGGATCTAACTGGGGCCTGCCGTGCAGTGAGAGAGGAATTCAGTTGATATGAAATGAAATGACTAAGAGTAGTTGGGTGTCGCTGTTAGCACACAGGAATGGACCGCAGCCATTTAGTAGCAGAAGATAAACACTGCGTTTGCAGTTTTTCCAAGCCCTCTTCTTGTCATGTATTTATCACTAGTATTATCAGTTAACTGTTCTGATAGGAGACTTCTTCACAGATTGAAAACCTGCTTCTTTTTTTCATAGGTATTTACACAGGGAATTTGCAGAGTCCTGGTCAGTTCCCAGATTGGCTGAAGGCTTTGATGTCAGCACTGATGTGATCCGAAGGGTTTTAAAAAGCAAGTTTGTGCCCACATTGGAGCAGAAACTGAAGCAGGATCAAAAAGTCCTTAAGAAAATTGGGCTTGCCCGCTCACTCCAGCAGCTCCCAGGCTCTGGGGATACCTCAGCACCGCTTTCTGCAAGCCATTCTGTATCAGGCTCTTTGCCGATGCCAGGGGATGAAGCCTCATCCAAAGGCCATGGTCACAGCACAGCTTTGAAAGTGACAGAATTGAACACTCACAGAACAAATACACCAAGGAGACAGAAGGAAAGGAATAAAGGAATCCAGGGCCTGGAGGAGGAGAAGAGCTTTGTGCCTGTTGCTGCAGCCCCAGGTCATCCGAGAGAGCTGCAGAAGTTCACCAGTGACTGTGGAGGCACCAGAGGAACTGACAGTGATGGATTGCCAAGTGACAAGAAGCTGGCAGAGTTGAAGGCAGGGGAGCCAGGTGACCAGAACTTTAGCAACAAAGTCGTGCAGAGGGGACGAGAGTTCTTTGACAGCAATGGGAACTTCCTGTACAGAATTTGAGCTGGAGCCTGGCTTGTGGAAATGCCACATGAAACACAGCTGGGCAAGTATATTTGGTTCTGCCTGGATTTCTGTGTGTGGATTAACCACCTTGGAATGGAGGGTAGTGATGAGCCTGGAATGTGGGATGAAAGAGCTTCTTGGATTTGAACCTGACAAAGGGCAGAGAACCTCACAGGGTAGTTCTTTGTGGGAGCAGGGTGAGTGACTGGGTAGATTCCAGCCTCCTGGAGCACTGCTCCTCCTGTGACCCACGTGGATCTTCAGGACTCAGCCTTCTTGCTTGGGCTCTCTGTATGTTGAAACCAGCCTGTATTGCATGTGTTGTTACAAGTTTCTGTGATACTTCCAGTATGTTTGGGAGGAAATTAAAAGTTTGTCTTCTCACCTCATTTACTTCTTGATTAATGAATACTAACAGTTCTGGAACTGCTTAGTCAGTTATCTTCATTATGTGCAAAATAAAGTAAAATGTAGCAGTCTGTGTTGATTGATGCTGTCTGGGATTGGGAGGGTTTACCTGTGAGGGGAAGGGAAGAGGCAAAGGGTCCCTTGTCTAAATATTGGGAGAGAGATGGGGCCAGAGGAATCCCTAATAAAGGGCTCTGTGCCTGTCAGCCCTGCTCAGTGATGGACTTTGACAGCCAAAAACTGGACATTAGGCCTTCCCTAAACACCCAGTCTAAAGCAGCTCCTCTTTTAGTTGCTAGGGCTCTAAAACAAAATGGGGCTGTGGGGATTTGACCAAACAAAAAATGCAAAGCAGGCAAAGCCTTTCAGGCTCTCAACGTAACCTCCAGCCACTTCCAAAAGCTTAAGTAGTATCTTATTTTACAGCTTTAATCAGATTTTTACAAGGGTGTTATGATTTAGGCAAGAATAGATAATAGATCCCTTTTACAAATATGGCCTTGGGACTTCCCTGGTGGCGCAGTGGTTAAGACTCCGCGCTCCCAATGCAGGGGGCCAGGGGTTCCATCCCTGGTCAGGGAACTAGATCCCACATGCATGCCACAACTAAGGAGCCGGCGAGCCACAACTAAGACCCGGTGCAAACCAAATAAATAAATGAAAGTAAATAAATACATGAAAAAAAACCCAAATATGGTCTCAAAGGTTTTTGGATATGCCCAAGGTCACATAGCTGCAAGTGAGTGACAGCAGTGGGACTTGAACCCAGGTCTGATTCCTAATTCAAGGTTTCTAAAATTCCAGGAATCTATCACTGCCTGGCATAATTTCTGTTAATTCACTGATTCTTTTAGAATACTTTATTAATATCAGAAAGTGATTATCAAAAGACAAATGGAGACATATTCAAGCAACATAGAGTCCAATGACAGTTCTCAACAATGTCTCATTTTAACAATTTACCAGCAAAAATTGGCTACTCAGAATTTAAATACATGCAGGATGTTTTTCTAATGAAAACATTGATATTCCAACCGTCACTGACAGCCTGGTCATGTGTCTTGTTGCTATTGCAAATGTCATTCATGGCATTTATATCACTGATTACTGTTAACTTGAGCATCTGTTCAGTAGAAATGGGCAAGGCCCTATCACATGCCAGTCAAAGTTAGGGAATCCAGCTTCTGGTAATAGAGCAGTGGACAGATAAGGCCCTTGTTCTCACTGCTTTGTCACTATTATGTAACTTATAATAAAAACGTCAATATAATTATGATTTTTAAAAGGGTAATTTGCCATTAGAACCTTAGAGGAGGGACTTCCCTGGTGGTGCAGTGGTTAAGAATCTGCCTGCCAATGCAGGGGCCACGGGATCGATCCCTGGTCCTGGAAGATCCCACACAAGCCGCAGAGCAACTAAGCCCATGCAGCACAACGACTGAGCCCACGCATCGCAACTACTGAGCCCGCGTGCCTAGAGCCCGTGCTCCGCAACGAGAGAACCCACTGCAATGAGAAGCCTGCGCACCGCAATGCAGAGTAGCCCGCGCTCACTGCAACTAAAGAAAGCCTGCGTGCAGCAACGAAGACCCAATGCAGCCAAAAATAAATAAATTTATTTAAAAAAAAATAACTTAGAGGAGCAAGATGCTATTTGACTGCTTAAATATGCATTTCTAACTCCTGCAAATCATTTGTGTCCTTTCCCCAGGGGACTATGAAATATTAGAAGCTTTTATTGCTAGCTTGGATATGTTTTCCATTTACCTCATCCACCACCATCCTAATGCTCGCTAGCTTAAATCTTTTGTTTCCATTCTTGTAAATGCTAATCTAAGGCTTTTGCACTTACTAGTTCTTTGTCCCCAGATTTTCACTTGGCTGGGTCCTTGCCATTCAGGCCTCAGGTCAAATGTTACTTTCACAGGCCTTTTCACCCTAGTCTAAAACAGCTCTCTTCATGTTCTATCACCACACCCTGTTTAATTTTCCCTAGTATTTGAAATGTATTACTAATGCATTATTTGTCATCACCCACCTTGCCCCATTAGAAGGTAGATCCCATAAGGGTAGGAGACGTGTATGTGTTCATTGCTGTAGTTCCACTCCCAACATAGATTTCTTTCTTCCTCCCTTTTCTTTTTCGTCTGTGCCATGCAGCAGGCGGGATCTTAGTTCCCCGACCAGGGATCGAACCTGTGTCCCCTGTAGTGGAAGTGCAGACTCTTAACCACCGTACCGTCAGGGAATTCCCCCAACATAGATTTCAATATTGGTTGAGTGAATGAAGAAATGGCTGGGAAACCTTACACCAATCAGCCAATCCACAATGGCAGAAAGCCCGGCCTTTTACCTTTGCCAGCCTGTGCATCCAGATCTCAGCCAAGAAGGCCTAAACTTCCTGCAGGTTGACCTGTTCCTGCTCTACGCTGACTGTGTGTCTCAGATCCTAACCCACTGTCATTGAGGTGTTTGGGGAAATTGTCCCTTCTCCCCGGCCCCCCACTGCCCCATCCCAAGCAGGGAGGCTGGACAGGCGAATGGGGACTCACTCAGCCTGTGTTCCATTGGGTGGGGGTCATAGGACTCCATGGTGCCCTATCCCCAGGCAGTCCTGTTTCATGACACAACGAAGGACTTTGACATCACACTGGATGAGGTGGAGATTTGGGGGTGCAGGTGTAGCATCTGGTGGAGGAGGCAACAGATAACAAGACTGCTCAAGCTGGAATAAAAGCAACTGTGGGTGAAATGGGCACCTCACAGCAACTTGGGGCCAAACTCAAGAAGCTGGCAAACTGTACGACAGAAGGGACTTAAATCCCTGCAAACTGGAGGGTGTATATGTCACTCATCTGTGAAGGGCAGCTTCTACCTTTCTGTGCAGCTGAGATTTGATCTAAGGGGAGGGGGTGAGAGGAAGCTCAGTAAAAAATACTAAACAAGCTCTTGAAGCCCAGTGTGAGCATAAAAGTTTTGGGTTTTTTTTTTTTTGCTTAATCTTCTATTATAGAAGTTTTCAAACATTCGAAAGTAGAATATTGTAGTGCAATGAACCCCTGTGTACCCATCACCCAGCTTCAACATTTAACAAATGGCCAATCTTTCTTCATTGCCCCACAGCTCCCTTTGGCTTATTTTAAAGCAAATCCCAGACATCATATTATTTCATCTGTAAGTACTTCAGTCTGTGTCTCAAAGAGATAGGGGCTCCTTTTTAACATAGACATATAAGCCATTACTATACCTTGAAAGTTTTAGGAATTCCTTATTATCAGCTAATATCCTAATAATATTCTGGTTGATTTCTTTGAATTAGGATCCAAACAAAGTCCACACATTGCAATATTGCATTGTGTTGTTATGTCCCAGAAGTCTTTTATTCTAAAGTAGTTTCCCCTTCCACTTTCTTCTCATTGTCATTTGACAGTTATTTGACCCATATAATTTTCTGCTTTTTAGACATGGTTGATTTTATCCTTGTGATGTCTTTTATCGTGTTTCCACTACCCTCTGTATTTCCTATGAACTGGTAATTAGATCCTGAGGCTTGATCAGGTTTAACATGTGCTTCCCATGCATCTCACCAGGAGATGATGATGTGATGTCACGATTGATTAGTGAGTTCAGGTATTGTCAGCCGGATCTGTCCATTATAATGTCTCTCATAAGCTTTTTTTTTTAACAAGGTAAATATAGATCTTTACCATCACCCCTGAAAATTCTCTAATTTTCTTCCCAATTTTCATCCCCAAAGTCAATCACTTTTCTGAAATTTTTCACTATAGTTTTTCCTGTTCGAGAACCTGATATAAATGGCATACAGATGCCACTCTCGTGCCTGGCTTCTTTCATTTATTCAGTTATTTTTATTGTATGAATATGCCACAGTTTATTTCCCCATTTTCCCACGAAGTGCATTAATGAGCCAAAACTCCGTATTGAAAGGTCACAGCTGGCGAGACTTGGCTTCCATTGGCTACTAACGCGTTCCTCTTCTCTCCCCTCACACCCGCCCCGCATCTCCACGCGTCTGGCCTCCCGCAGTTCGGAAGCGAGAGAGCTCCCAGCCTGCAGCTAAATTTGTGGAGTAGATTTGATTGACAGCCCACATCCTCAGTGATCAATGCCCTCCGGATTCCGAGTTGGTTTCGCCGATTTCACCAAGTTCTGAAAATCGAGCAAGTGCCCATCGCTTGCTTGGGTGAGCTAGGAGAATTGGGTGTACCCTTCAAAGTTAGTTTAAGGTATAATTCTTTTATCACAGGAACACTCGCCTCTGGTCAGGAATGAAACTGAACCTTGACGCATTGCCGCTCGTTTTCAAATGTCCCTTCCAGGACGCCGTCCTTTTCCGGATACGCTGAGCGTGGGTAGAGTGCACGGGACTTCCGGGAGGTCTAGGAAGTCGTCCCTCTCTTTGGCAGGAGGCGGGTACCTCTGCAGGTGTAGACCCAGGTCCTGCGGACCGGCAGAGTGGACCGGGAGGGGTGGGGTGGGACAAAGTGGCTGCAAGCCTGAGGCGAGGTCCCCCGAGGCTGCGGCTGTCCGGCCAGGAGGTGGCCATTCATTCCTCCATTGTGGCTGAGGAGCGAGGGCCCCTTCGGGGGCTCTTTCGAAGTCCGTGCCCTTACCTGAAGGAGAGCCATCCTGCGCTTACCCTGGGGTGCTGCCGGCCTTCTCAGAGCGGAGGGCGTCCCCCTTCTTCCACCCTGCGGCCCAGGTGACCGCTGCCATGGCTTTTCCCCATCGTCCGGATGCCCCAGAGCTGCCTGACTTCTCCATGCTCAAGAGGCTGGCCCGAGACCAGCTCATCTATCTGCTGGAGCAGGTCAGTGCCTGCCACGCTGGGGGCCTTACTGTATCAGCAGCACTCACTGGATGCATAGTTCTTTCTTACTGAGCTCCCTTGGTCTTGCTCTTGGCCCTTGGTATTGTCCTTGGAGCTTCAGTGGCAGGTCCAAAATGAAGCACTCAGGGAGGGAAACTTGGGACGATCTGGCCAGAGAGTTAATCGAAATCCCCCCTCCCCCCCCTTTTTTTCATACAGACAAGGGAGACACCACTAGTG